CATGGACTATTTCATGCACGAAAACCCATTTGATGAAGATGATATGTGATATTAGACACTGATCATATACACATATTTTAACATTTTTACTGCTCAATGACTGCTTTTCTTACTTACTGTATAAAAAATGGATTTAAAAATCATTTGCTGAAATTTAAAAAACGTCAAAAAAATTGAAAAAATTCGGATTTTTGATGGTTTTGAATGCCTTCGAGCGTTCATATTACTGTCCGTTCATAATTATGTCCGTTCATGTAATGTCCGTCCAAATAAGGTCCGATAAGGTAGACATCGCCAATCGATTTCCCGAGCCAACAAACATTGGTTTTGACACACAACTTGTTCAAGAAAAGCACTTAAATTTTTGTAAATTTTGAAGATTATTTGTGAATATTGGCGTGGTTATCTTATCAATGGGTGGTCTGAGAGTCAAATAGACATCGCCAATCGATTTCCCGAGCCAACAAACATTGCTTAACATTGGTTTTGACACACAACTTGTCCAAAAAAATTACTTACATTTTTGTAAATTTTGAAGATTATTTGTGAATATGGGCGTGGTTATCTTATCAATGGGTGGTCTGAGAGTCAAATAGACATCGCCAATCGATTTCCCGAGCCAACAAACATTGGTTTTGACACACAACTTGTCCAAGAAAATCACTTAAATTTTTGTAAATTTTGAAGATTAATTGTGAATATGGGCGTGGTTATCTTATCAGGAAGTGGTCTGAGATTCAAATAGACATCGCCAATCGATTTACCGAGACAAAAAATAATGGTTTGGATAACCTATATGCTTTTATTATCAAAATATGAATTTATTTCAGGAAATTGTAAGATTTTCTTGGCCACAGACTTCGAAGACACATAACTTTTTTTCCACCCAAATTTTGTTTGATCTATAGACCCTTCTGGAGCCAAATAACATCATAAACCTACTATATATAATATTCATATATATGATTGCAGTGTCGGGTCTATTCACAAAACGTGACATTTAGTCTTGTGTTTAAACTTAAAGGGGTACATGTAGACTTATTATACCCTTTTAACCTACAGGGTGGCCCATAAGTGACTACCCACACGCAACCTCTTAATAACTCACGTAATTCGTCTCCAAATTGCACCAAAATTTCAGAGATTATAGATATGGGTCAAACTTAGATTTCCTGAAAGTTTCGTAAGCCACGCCCAATTACAGTGGGCGTGGCGTGACACTCCCTCTTTTTCACTATTGTCTTCATAAAATGAGAACGCTTTAAGCTGAGAACTCCAAATTTTTTGCACACATTTGGCTTGATAATTGAAAACCTTTCCCAAAGTTTCAAGTTCATTGGTTAAAATATGGCTAAGTTATGACCATTTCAAAACTCATCGGATACGTGATCCGAGCACTCAGTCAGTGATCTCGTCAATTGGTTAATGGCCTGTTTGGCTCACATGCACCGCTTGATTGGTTGCAGCCTGCTTATGGGCCGGCCTATACAGCTGACAGCACCTAAAACGCTATCACACGAATTTATGGTGGTGTCACCATTTCAGGGCTTGTTAGCCCTGCTAGTCACAGGTTCCTTACAATCAATAAAAATGGTTCACTATCCTCCCTTTACTGCAGAACAACGATTGTTCGTCTACCTGAAGAAAGAAAATGGGGAGTTCTACCCTCAGATTAAACGACAATTTCAGATGAAATTCAACCGACCACCCCCTTGCCGGAAAAGCTGCTTTGACATTCATCACAAGATCAAGTTTACGTTTTCTGCACACGATCGGCGAAGAGTCGGCAGAACACGAACTACGAGGACTGTAGAAAACATCACGATGGTTGTTGGTGACGTGATGGACACACCTAAGATTGGCACCCGGAAACGAGCTCCTGCCTTAGACCTCAGCAGAACAACCCTTCAGCGAATCCTAAAGCAAGACCTTTCTAACCGGGCCTACCGAATCACAAAGAAACACAAACTTTTGGACCGTGATTTCCAATCGAGGATAGATTTCGCCAACACATTCCTTGAACATCTTAATTGAAATTATTGAATTGTTTTTGTGTGGGAATTTTTATTAGTTGATTTCATTTATTGATTTATCCTAAAAATTTGTGTTTTCTTTTCTAGCAAAGACATCATCGGTATCCAATCAAAGCCTAATGAACCTCATTAATACACGCTAACGCCTTACTCTTGATCAGATTGGGTGACGAGATCACTAATTCAGTGCAAATATCACTGACTGAGTGCTCGGATCACATATCCGATGGATTTTAAAATGGTCATAACTCAGCCATATTTTAACCAATGAACTTGAAACTTTTGGAAAAGTTTTCAATTATCAAGCCAAATGTGTGCAAAAAATTTTGAGTTCTCAGCTTAAAGCGTTCTCATTTTATGAAGACAATAGTGAAAAAGAGGGAGTGTCACGCCACGCCCACTGTAATTGGGCGTGGCTTACGAAACTTTCAGGAAATCTAAGTTTGACCCATATCTATAATCTCTGAAATTTTGGTGCAATTTGGAGACGAATTACGTGAGTTATTAAGAGGTTGCGTGTGGGTAGTCACTTATGGGCCACCCTGTATATAAAATTTGGTAAGAATGAATTATTAAAAGGGACCATCTCAATTCTCAATTTGTATCTTTTTTATGGGCATTAATGGCAGTATTTTAAAATTTTGCACATTAATGCCCATTAATGCACATTAATGTCCGTTGGTACTCCCCCTCTTTAACAACATAATAGGATAGAATATTTTGATGTACCTTTTGAATGAATTCTGATAGTGATACGACTGAATTCTCCTTAGAACACGGTGGTATTTGCTTTATCAGGATTCAGGGCTTAACTTTCAGTTCTGTTCCTTTTACCAGGTTTCAGTCTCACGTTACTCCGCATTTACTTTTTAAAAATCTTATTTTTATCTGATATCGATTGATATTTGTAAAAAACGTTGAACTATTTAAGTATTGTCATATTCGTATCCTATTGTTTTAATCTAAAAAAACACTTCCAGGGGAGAAGAGGAAAATGATCAGCTGATCTCCAGTCCTTCCAGGGGAGAAGAGGAAAACGATCAGCTGATCTCCAGTCCTTCCAGGGGAGAAGAGGAAAACGATCAGCTGATCTCCAGTCCTTCCAGGGGAGAAGAGGAAAACGATCAGCTGATCTCCAGTCCTTCCAGGGGAGAAGAGGAAAACGATCAGCTGATCTCCAGTCCTTCCAGGGGAGAAGAGGAAAACGATCAGCTGATCTCCAGTCCTTCCAGGGGAGAAGAGGAAAACGATCAGCTGATCTCCAGTCCTTCCAGGGGAGAAGAGGAAAACGATCAGCTGATCTCCAGTCCTTCCAGGAGAGAAGAGGAAAACGATCAGCTGATCTCCAGTCCTTCCAGGGGAGAAGAGGAAAACGATCAGCTGATCTCCAGTCCTTCCAGGAAAGAAGAGGAAAACGATCAGCTGATCTCCAGTCCTTCCAGGGGAGAAGAGGAAAACGATCAGCTGATCTCCAGTCCTTCCAGGGGAGAAGAGGAAAACGATCAGCTGATCTCCAGTCCTTCCAGGGGAGAAGAGGAAAACGAACAGCTGATCTCCAGTCCTTCCAGGGGAGAAGAGGAAAACGATCAGCTGATCTCCAGTCCTTCCAGGGGAGAAGAGGAAAACGATCAGCTGATCTCCAGTCCTTCCAGGGGAGAAGAGGAAAACGATCAGCTGATCTCCAGTCCTTCCAGGGGAGAAGAGGAAAACGATCAGCTGATCTCCAGTCCTTCCAGGGGAGAAGAGGAAAACGATCAGCTGATCTCCAGTCCTTCAGGGGAGAAGAGGAAAACGATCAGCTGATCTCCAGTCCTTCCAGGGGAGAAGAGGAAAACGATCAGCTGATCTCCAGTCCTTCCAGGGGAGAAGAGGAAAACGATCAGCTGATCTCCAGTCCTTCCAGGGGAGAAGAGGAAAACGATCAGCTGATCTCCAGCAGAACGGTGAACAATTTGTTGATTTTGAAAAACGATCAGCTGATAACCAGGGGAGAAGAGGAAAACGATCAGATGATCTACAGTCCTTCCAGGGGAGAAGAGGAAAACGATCAGCTGATCTCCAATCCTTCCAGGGGAGAAGAGGAAAACGAACAGCTGATCTCCAGTCCTTCCGGGGGAGAAGAGGAAAACGATCAGCTGATCTCCAGTCCTTCCAGGGGAGAAGAGGAAAACGATCAGCTGATCTCCAGTCCTTCCAGGGGAGAAGAGGAAAACGATCAGCTGATCTCCAGTCCTTCCAGGAGAGAAGAGGAAAACGATCAGCTGATCTCCAGTCCTTCCAGGAGAGAAGAGGAAAACGATCAGCTGATCTCCAGTCCTTCCAGGAAAGAAGAGGAAAACGATCAGCTGATCTCCAGTCCTTCCAGGGGAGAAGAGGAAAACGATCAGCTGATCTCCAGTCCTTCCAGGGGAGAAGAGGAAAACGATCAGCTGATCTCCAGCAGAACGCTGAACAATTTGATGATCTTTTTTTTTGGAAAACGATCAGCTGATTCCAGTGATGAGTGATCCCCAGGATTTTGGAAGACGATCAGCTGAACCCCAGGATTTTAGAAGACGATCACAGATCAGCTGATCCCAAGGATGTTAATGATAATTGTCTTAAAGAAATGTGTTTGTTCATTTAATGACTATAGGTTCAAAAAGCTGCATTAAATATTGAGTTTTATTTCTCTTAGAGGTGCAAAATATTGCAATTTACTTTTATATCAAAAATAAAACATACTCCTATTAAATATAGATATTATAGGGCTTGTGTTAACCTATAACAGTAACACAGTGTTAGGTTGGAGGATCAGAGTAGAGGGTTGAATTTTGAACTGTCCGTCAGAGCCTTCTAGAGAACTTGCTAACCTTACTCTTAGTCACGTGAAAGTCAAGTGTTGAGTGATTTATCATCGAATCCTAAAGGTTTTGGTGTTGATATATTTGTTAATCAATAAATAATGAATAAGCAATAATATAGAAGTTTTAAAAAATTCTAAAACAATTTTAATTTAATTTCCCATTCATTTCAATAAGTGCACTCTATAAGTGTGTGTACTTAATTGAGCTGAACTCATACATCATACCCACATTTCATTTCAACTAAATTAATTTTCAAAATAATTGCATGATTGATAATAATATAATTACTTAATTAACAACTGACTGTATAATAATTGTGTAATCTCGAAATCACAAAATTTCTATTGTCAACTCTTTAGTGTCAGTTTATGGATCTTTTTGTTCTTCTCCGTTACAAAGAACCCATTTAGTGATCGTGGCGTAAAAAATGTAAAATGTATAACCAGTTAGTAGTTACTCATTACTTTGACATAGAGAAAGAAATCAATCACGTAAACGTATATGAATGTGGCACATAAAAAAGATTAAAACATTCAACATTGTGCATGTTGATCATAGATACAATGCAGTCTATTTCTATTTCCTATAATTTCGACTTCCTACAATTAAAATTTCGACTTCCTACTAATTGAAAACTCGTTATCAATAGCATGGTAATGTAATTAACAATGCTGTGATATAATTTAAGTTTAACCACAGTGCTAGCATTAGCAAGCGTGGCTGTCAATTTGATACGTTTTAAATAACTGATCACTAACTTCTAACGTATCTAACAATCTAAGATTTTATTTTGAATTCACGACCAAACTTCAAGTCTTCATCTTCTCGGGTTTGTAACTTTATAAGCGATAAATAGAACTTATCAGCGACACTCAAAGCTGCAGCTCGTAGCTCGTTACCTAGCGACAGCATTCTATACTGCATCAATAGCCACTGATTCAATAAATTCAATTTTTAAATGTACACCCTAGCAAAGATTTCAATTCCATGAAAATTACTCATAAGCGACATCTCCGTTCGTTTTGTTGGAAATGACAATATCTTGGGATGATATGGGTGTTGGAGGGTGGCTGGCAGGAAGACTCGGGGAGTGTCCGTCAAGCTCTATATTCGTCTCACCGTATTTGTCTTCAAACACAGGTTTCAGGGGGAAGGAGAAAATAAGCTCGTAGGAGAATGCCCCAACAAAACTGGCCACAAGTGGGCCAACAATGTACACCTACAGATCAGAGGATTAGTTTCAAATCATTGAAAATCAAGATGTCTACAAACGCATCGTGGTGGCTAAATTAAAGGAATTGCACCTAATAAACCATCCGTTTAATTGAGTCACTAATTCAATATGATACTATATCTGAAAGTTAAAACTTGTATACAGAATTCTAGAACCTTCACTTTGCAGCGTTAATTAATTATTATTAAGAGAGTCCTAACTCTCCTAGCGTCCTAAGATGGCGTTTCTCTTGTCTCATATATTGTACATATTGTACATATCTTATGTACTGTTTGTATTAAGATAAAAGATCGCTTACCCAAATTCTGTGCGGAACGTGGTCCCCTATTGCGTTGACCATCAAGGCTCTGGCAGGATTTACACCACACCCGGTAAGGGGCAACTGCAATATTCGTACGATAAAAATGTGTAGTGTGTACAATAAGAACTCGTCCTTATACTACACCATGTGTGTTAATCAGTCGAACGACTGGTCTAACATTCGGCAGAATCTTTCAAAATGTGTTTTAAATATCGATTAAAACACGTGCATCAACTGGTAAATTCATAGCTCAAACATGAAATATGATTTATGGAGATTTCAACCATACATTCGCAATTCGGGTACTATTTCTAGCATCATTTACAGTGAAACAAATAGTAAAAACGAATGATACTTTTTATGGTAGGGTATCAGCACAAGAGCACGTGAAAACGTTATGTTTTGTACTCACCAAAGTGAGATGCACGACGAATACTGCGAGTCCGAGAGCTATCGGGTAATCATAGCTGGAGACCCTGCACTTTCTGAACGTATTTGTTGCAGCAAGGTACGTGAAAATTATCGAAAAACTTCCTGATAACAATATGATGAGGTAATACTAAGAGGTTAGGTAATAACTGATGCAATGTTGTATCTTGTAACCTGCCGTCAATAAGCAGTGTTCATTTTGGAGCATTTAATTAATGTTCTTCGTATCTCATGTAAGAAATGGTAAAACGAACAAAAGCTTTCGAAATTGAAGTAAATCAAGATTAGGGCTTTTAAAGCTGTTATTATGAAATTTACCAATAAGTTCACACAAGAAACCGGCCCACTGTTGAACTTCATCTACTGATCCGTCTTTCTGTCTCAAATCTACCATTCCTGTCACTTCGCCGTTCAGCAAAAGTAATACACCTGAAAAGAATTTATTAATCGGGAGGTTTTCTCGTTATAATTCCTTATTGACAGTAATTTTATTCAATAATTTGGAAAGATCTTCGTAATATTAATAAAACTGTGTCAAAATATTGGGGAGATATCAGATGATCATCTTAATTAAATAAAAACTTTTCATTGCCCTTACAAGCTGCAAGAGTAGCGCCTAACACCTGCATTGCCCAGTACAAAAAGCACCTCACAAGCGAAATCCTCTGAGCGAAGAACATCGCCAGCGAAACTGCTGGGTTAAAATGAGCGCCGCTAATATCATGAAATATGTAGGCTGTGACGGCTGTAGCTGAAATATTATCGAATTTATTGTTACTGTGTTAATATTATAATAAACTTAATTTTATTATTTTTACCGCTATTATTTTGCTCGGTCTCTTGCTTGAAGAGAGTTCGCAAAGTGTATCAGAACGTTTAAGATATCGCGGTATGCAACTGAAAGCTTGTTATATAGGATGTGGAGACTACCGGGGTTTTTGTACATGACGGTTGAAAACAAAAATATACAAGATGAAGGGAAGGAAGGGGGGGTGGTGAGATTACCTGTGTGCTGTGTCATGCTCGGAAAACAATTAAATTTCACGAAATAGTATACCGTTAATTAACCGTATATCGTAGAATCATCGCAATAATCTTTTACGAGTAGAAACGATAGAATAATATACAAATGAAACACGAAGACTACTGAAAAGTGAAAAATAGGTTTCACGAAATAGATTAGTAGATTATCAGTGAAATTGTGAGATAAGGTTTGGTCACAATACGGTCACTATACGGCCTCTATACGGTCAATAAACGGCCACTATACGGCCACTATACGGCCACGATACAGCCTCTTTATATACAATATGAATAAACGGAAGAGGGGATCATTACGCGAAGATTACCGAAAAAGAGGTTTCACGAAATAGACTAGTAGGTACATTATCAGGGAAATTTCGAGGTAGGGTTCGAACTTTGACCACTTTACAGTTTACTGCCATCATATGGCCTATAAACGGCCACTATACGGCTACGATACGGCATCTACAATCTATACGGCTTCTACAATCTATACGGCCACGATACGGCAACAGATCACTTAACAGGTGGGAACTTTAAACAGAGAGTTTCATCAACATGAGTTTCATGAAGGTCAGAACTTCAGAAGGGATATTTTTATCTTCTCAAGCATCAAGTATGCAGGAGGTTGAGGTTGTATTTGTAGAGAAGATTGAGAGCGTTTAACTGTTCGGACGACGAAAGGGGTGTTTCGAGTTGTTTGGATATTTTTGATATCCGTTGGGGTTCAGTGGTCACTAGATCTCGCCGTATAGTCGGCGTATAGTGGCCGTATAATAGTGGACGTATATAGTGACTGTATATGGCCGTATAGTGGCCGTATATAGGCCGTACAAAAAACACTACTATAGTACTTCCTACTACACTATAGCTATATTAGCTAACCTGAAAAACACCACAACTAAACTAACACTTACCTATTCCAAATCCTAGTGCCAAGTTTCCAGTTCCTCCAATACCAGCTCCAATACCCCAGAACACAACAGAGAAGGTTCCAAACAACTCCGCAATACATGCTCGCAACAGTTTGCCGCTCAAACGGTCAGATTTCCTTGGTAATATAGACCAGCCTCCCATTGCAACCTAACAAACAATAACACGGTTCAATAATAATCTCAATATTAATTATATTATTCAAGTGTAAAACATACGAGGACAGCGATTGAAGAAGGATGAAGCTGAGATTACAGGGAGTTAGGAAATACACCGATACGGTGAAACCCAATAATACAGGTTCAATTAATAGCTTGCATACGCTTAGGAACAGACAGGCCGTGACTAGATCCGTGACAACACTCACGAAAGAGTCACAACCTCTAAAAGTCTAAAGACACAACATAAAAACTCTCATGATAGACGTGAAAACGTTCATGACCACTAAACAAAATACGTGACTCAAGTCGAGAGGGTTCGACAAATTTACGGGTCAAGTCACGATCCTTACATTCCGCGTATCGATGGTCATGGCACGGCTGTAAGTGAAGAAGGTATCAATAACAATAACCATAAAATAAACATATCGTTCGAGTGCGAACTGGATCTTGCAGATTGCAATATAAAAATACAATTATAGAATCTTGCTTTCATCAGTAAACTAATAAACATAGACAAAATTAGATTAAGTACACCTAAAATTAGACAAATCATGACGTAATATCTTAGTATCTTAAATACGTGGCATAAAGTAAGGAATGCACCTCACAACCCACAGGGACTATGTAACCAACAAAAATAATGTGAATCGCATTAAAACAAGTTACACTCATGCATAGTTTCAAAATTACATAGGAACACACGGGCAAAATAACATAATATCCGTTTACCCTGAATCTCACGACAAGATATATCCATGCTAGGGAATCAAATCTCTGTAAAAGCTTTAAAACGTGGAATGTGACAAAGGAATGGGGCAGCACACAGGCTGCAGACGAGGCAGGGAGAGAAATAGCTGGAATGCGGATCTAAATTCGGTGTGGCGTGATCACTGCAGATACACACACAAACGAGAACCATGGTCCGATAACAAACAATCATTTAGATCACTGTGCACTACATCATGGGAGTTGAACTCGGTTTATAATTGACCTATAGTTATTGGTCCAACAATCAGCTCATTTTAATTCTTACTGGGGAGTGTGGTGAGATTGAAAAAAGAACAAAATCCTTTATATTGAAACCCCTTCTATTTACACTCAACTAAGTTTAGTTTTATTGCAAATTGGGTGCTTTTGAATTTCGACGAAGGGTCAGAATTTAGCGTCGTGTACAACCTTTCAACGTTACAATTTGTTATTTCCACCGCTCCACATTTTTTTGGCACAGCTACCAATTCTCAGTAATGACTGTTCGAAGAAGAAGCACTAATTAAATGGGGATGGAGTATTTTTTTTGTTCAATGAGGGCAAAATGTCGACAAAAATTGGTATCCAATATTCATGAACTGTTCAGTGGTCCAAAAACAATCCCTGTACCAATACTATACTTTTATCATCGAAAAAGAGGCAGTCCGGGTTTTCCTAAGAAGCTAGCTTCAACAAATCCCAAAGAACGACTATATTATATACTTCGAGATCATCCTGGCAACAGTAAACAAAAATTCCTGAACGCCGAACTATTTTAATGATTGAAACATGATGAATGATCTCATTGAACCTGAAGTAGATGAAGGTCCACTACGTAGGACAACAGTCAGCTGGGGAAAAAACTGGAGGTATAGAATTTCCATCACGATTGGATTATGGGAATTGTGGGACTAGCAATTTGATTACACCGCGCCAGGTCTTGTATAGCCATGTGATTGATAACCATATTTCCTGATTACTCTAACTGTGATTAACCGGGTAAAAGAGAAATCTAAATTAACGGCTCGTATAGAAATCTCCGCCATGGTTATTATACGCCACATGAGTGGACAGAGACAAAGTTAGGGATCAACCACATGAAGACCATTAAGTTTCAATGAAACAAGATCCAACTATCTCTTCGTGACTTCATCTCAACTATTTGGAAGAGTATTACAATTTTGATTACCTCCTCATTCTCCTGTAACTATGTGGAAGGAATTCAAAGTATTTGAGGTATGTTTACATTGATCTAAGATAAACGCGTGTTAAGCTCAAACTTTAAATCATCTTAGTATTAGACGGGTGATCCGATGTGAAGTATAGATTACTCTAATCGGTAGGTACTAGAAGTATAACTAGGCATGTCTAGAAGTACTAGGTATGTCTGATCCTTGGCAAGAAAACTTTAAAGCATTACGTATACGACATAAAAATTCACAGCCTCTGCTCATGTTCTTCTCGAATAGAATTTCACAATAATTTTCAATCTCAAGAAGTTTTGCTTGGTTGAGAAAATGTATCTTTTACACTTGCAAATATTAAAAATACCTCGCGATGGAATTAAGATTGAGTAAGACGGTCCTGCATATTGAAAAAATTATACACATTTACAAAGAAATATCCTTTCAAATAATTGGTCGGGGCCAACCACTATATTTTCAACACGGATCACATTTCCTGACGGTACAACAATCAACTACCGCCGCGATAAAAAGCTAACGAGTAACGACCGCAGTTGCAATGGAATTCCAGCTAAGGCACACTGAGTATAAGCGACAAATGCTAGACAATAAACGTGAAACTGAAAGGTCCAAACAATAAACGTCCACCATGTGAAACGTTTACCCCCAATTAGCATCATCAAACACAAAGTTAAATAATAGCTCTTACATTCACTACCACATCAGTTTATAGGGCTGAGGCTAGGCTCACATACAATACCGTTACATGTTACACATGATATCTCATGAGATAAATGGGATTTAAATTTTAATACCGTTGTTATGGCTTAAGACCTTGTTTTTTGTGGTGGTTCTATTCAAGATACTTGTTATAATTATATCAATATAGCGCGTGCTAGGGTACAGACCAAGTCTAAAAACTAAACCACATGTTAAACGTAAAACACTGAAGACTCCCCTGTCCGGTGGAATTCTCTTCAAACAAGGCAGAATAAGGATAGGTATTGGTTAAGTATGGCGAGGACAGTAGGAAAGTATAATCACAGACTGGTGAATAGAACAGACTACAGAGTACATAGTTACAAAATGTACAGAGTGGCTCGAGTAGAGTGCAGCACTAGAACTCCAAATATTAACGACCCGCAAACTCACTATCAAAACATGGCTGGAGACTACAAAATTGAATGACAGATTGATCTGAACAATAATGGAACTAGCAAGTAGGAAGTACATACTTTGCGTGTGGTTGACAAACCCGGCCTGCGTCACTATATCTCGTTTGTCAATTCTTATAGTCCTAAATTTAGACGTTATGCTGAGGTAAAAATACCTCAGTAACTTTTGACATTTCTACCGACATTCTTGTCATTTTTACCATGACGCACAGGGCCGTGCATTAACTAGTAAAGGAGTAAAATAAAACCTTACCGGGGCCCCGCGGCGCAGAGGGGCCCCTAAACTTAAAGATTTCAGTTTGTAAATTGACATGAACAGAAGTCGCCATGTATTAAGATCATAGTTGGTCAGTACGCACTGTACGAACTTTTAAAAGGTGCCGAACTGTACGAATTTTAAAAAGCTGTCGAGGAATTTTTACCGAATTTTAAGAAAAAATTTATGTTTTTTAATCACAAAAGACGAAACAAACTTTCAACCGCAAAAGCGGAAAAGCCAGTACTGTATGTTCATTCAAACCTCAAACTGTTAAATCAGATTTCTGAGTCGGACGCTACAAGTTTAGGTGATTTTGATAGCAAAATTGATGTATCTTATTGCATTGATTTTCTTAATAAAGTTGAGAAGTGATCTTCATGCTTACTAATAATTCGGTTATACATTTTGTATCATTTGTCAAAACACAAAACTTAAACCCCTCATATTTCAAATTATAAGGTTTTTGGAATTAGCTTTTCGAAAATTTATGAGGCGAATTTTTCCCGAACTAATCCCGAACTGAAAAAAGGTGCCAAACTGTACGAATTTTTCACGACTTTTGTACGAACTGACCAACTATGATTAAGATGCAGCTGAACGATAAATTGCGAATCACCTTGACAAAATTGATTAATGATTGGGTTATCTGCTCAGCTCTGAACGCTATTATACTGTTTTGATATTTAATTTGAACTCAAACGGCTCTACGTGGGGTACTTGTTTTCACTCTTTAGAACCGATCTGACATGGTTAGTACCCGACACGGCGACACATGTGTCAGTCGCTATTCATATGGGCGGTAGAAGAACATTATTTCATTTCATATAATTATTCAGAAATAGATATGGAGAAATATTTATGTTAAAAGATTAAGAGCAGGCAGCAAATAAAAGGCAAACAATATGTTGCCAAAAACTTGGCACATGATGAAGTATAACTATATTCCTATATATAAATCTATAAATAATAAGAACGACCACACTAAACATTGTCACACGACACACATATTCTGAATATTTCGTACTCGTTTGTATGCAATTATATATCGTTAATAGAATATTCTACCGGAAAACTAATCACCATACAACGTGAATTCCAATTTTTGCTTTGGAAAGTTTAACAAATTATCATATCGTGCTTTTTTTGTAAAATGCTCCCGGCCATTATCATGATCTGCGCATCTATTATTATTATATTACCGTTAATAAACAGTTTGCTCAATTTAAGAATCTGCAATGAATCCATTGTAAATTGTATTGTTAGATTATCAAACTTTAACAAAATCAATGTCTTTTTTCGTGATGATAAAACTAATCGTTTAAAATTTCCACAAGGACGACTGACATATTGATTTAAATATAAACTAAAAATAAATGTAAGAAAACGAACACAATCGCAAACTTAGGCCCTGAAAGTGTGAAACCTACAAGTACAGAGTAAGTACGGGTATCGGCCTTACAAAATGTCGGTAAAAAGGAGATGAAATAAAATAAAACTGTCATTTTGTGAGGCATATTAAGGGGACATACACCAAAACCTTTTTTGCCGGGACCCGGGATTTGACTTCATATTATGAAAGTATAAATTACAACTGTAAGATTTGAGGCATTGAAAAATTTTTTTGAGAGTACGCACATTCGAAAAAAAAATTATTTTCTTTTTCGAAAGTTTTGGAAATTTTGAGAAGTCTGTCACTGTAATACCGATATTTCAGTCATTTTAAACGTTTTTTGGCTGATTTTTTAACTAAACATTATTTACAATCCGTACAAGAAGCCCTTCAAAGGATTTTATAATTAAAATATAGATGACGAAGTTACAGACCAAACAAGGTCGAAAGAAGCAAAATTGAAATTTTTGTAAAAATCAAAGTTGTATATTTTACCATTCACCCAGGTCATAAGTTATCGCTTCAAAAATTCTTGTGAGTGTAGCTGATGATTATATCCAACTTTTTGGAACAGGATTTCTCTCAATTTTGAGTTTTAAGGTATTAAATGTGGCCTCAAACGACTTAGTAAAATTCATCGTAAAAATGGGCCAAACATGGCAGATTTAAGGCTTAAAATGACTATAACTCAAAAATTAACTGTTTTTTTGAAATAATTTTTACAGAATCGTAATCAGCTTGAGAAGACGAATCTTTTAGTACCAAATAGGTGATTTTAGAAGACAAATTGTCTTAAATAATTTTCCAGCTCGAACACAAGTATAAATTTTGTACAAATTGTACACATTTTTTTACAAATTTTGTGTCTTTAACTATTATAAATTTGGTACTAAAAGATTTGTCTTCTCAAGCTGATTACGATTCTGTAAAAATTATTTCAAAAAAACTGATAATTTTTGAGTTATAGGCATTTTAAGCCTTAAATCTGCCATGTTTGGCCCATTTTTACGATGAATTTTACTAAGTCGTTTGAGGCCACATTTAATACCTTAAAACTCAAAATTGAGAGAAATCCTGTTCCAAAAAGTTGGATATAATCATCAGCTACACTCACAAGAATTTTTGAAGCGATAACTTATGACCTGGGTGAATGGTAAAATATACAACTTTGATTTTTATAAAAATTTCAATTTTGCTTCTTTCGACCTTGTTTGGTCTGTAACTTCGTCATCTATATTTTAATTATAAAATCCTTTGAAGGGCTTCTTGTACGGATTGTAAATAATGTTCAGTTAAAAAATCAGCCAAAAAACGTTTAAAATGACTGAAATATCGGTATTACAGTGACAGACTTCTCAAAATTTCCAAAACTTTCGAAAAAGAAAATAATTTTTTTTTCGAATGTGCGTACTCTCAAAAAAATTTTTCAATGCCTCAAATCTTACAGTTGTAATCTATACTTTCATAATATGAAGTCAAATCCCGGGTCCCGGCAAAAAAGGTTTTGGTGTATGTCCCCTTAACACTGTCATTTTGTGAAGCTAGGTCATTTTTTTCTACCAACGTCACTAAATAAGTTTTTTATTTAACCAGAGTAGTCTTTGATTTACATAAGTCATTGTAGTACCTGGTTTCCTGGGGTTAAATTCTAAACTTTGGTCTCCTGCAGTCTGGGACCTGGGTAACAGTTAGGCAGGGCAATGACTGAACAGCAAAAACCTCCATATTTATGTAAGAAATATAGATTCTAATTATATGTCATTGTCATTCCTTGGAAGTGTTAATTAATGCTTTTTCTTTCATACAGTAAAAGGAATAGGGTTCAATGTAGAGGGAACCTAAGCTACAGCATGGTCTATATGTTATATGTACTGTCATTTTGTGAGGCCTGTCAGTTTGTAAGACCCATACCCATAAGTAAATAACGAAACATTTTAACCTGTATAGTGTCCATTGTCCATTTGTCCACGCGACTGAATTGAAATTTGTGTCAGATACCGAGGAGGACTAGACATTGAAAGTGAAACTCATGGTTAATCGGGTTAACTCTCAAATTATCTACAATACTGATCTCATCTTTTACTAAATCTACTCAATCAGGAACACGAAATTTGATTTATTTTGCAAATTTTACACTTAAAACAAAACATTAACAAAACAAAGACGCTTCAATCCCTAGACTCCGAGATGTGGTTTATATTCTGTAATTAGCTAAGTGTACAATATTACAATGACACACACACGTACAGGTCCATCTCTCAATACATTAGTCCTCGTGGGCTCGCTAACTGTTCCAGTATTAGTTAGCAGCTATGTCATTGTGCTCAATTTGGGAAGCTTTGTGGAGCCTTCATTTTGATCAAAGATCGTCGGAATTTAGAAATACAGAAGAATGTAGAAGAATGTAGAAGGAAATTCGAAAAAAGGTATGATAATTGTTACATCGCCTACACTAAGTCTAACTATAGAAACAACGGTCAGTGGAGTTAAGAAGAATTTCAGTTAAAGGTATGTTAAGAAATTATTTGAGAACAATGATTAGAAATAAAGCGCAACATCTTTTCATTCAAAGAAATCAATATATATCCTGCAGGGTCACAAGATTATAGTAAAACTAAAGTAAACATTTTCAACATTTTCAATCAGAACAAATTAATGCCACTTGCAGTGAAATTATGATACCACAATCAGCCACAGTTCATTAAACCAGCGAGTTTACTTTGCTTCACCCTCTTTTCTATAAATGTCTGTAATATCCTCTATATCACTACAAAGTGAAGGTGTGGTAGTATGCATATTATCCTCGTTCAGCTGCCTAAAACTCTCGAATATAAACCAGTGGTTTGACACATCTCTCCATGTTAGTTTGAGACGACGTTTCAGCGCTTGTAGTATGTTCTTTGGTCGCTGAAATTGTCAAGTGTCAGTGCTTTATACTTATCGATAAAGACCTCCTGAACATATTATAACTATTTGAAACCAAACCCAAGCCTTGTTAAAATCATTGTTCCACTAATCATCGTGTTTACACAAAATATATATCTCTAGTGTGAATCCCTCAACCTCATTTATGCAAACACGAGAAATATAATAGGATCATAGTAAAAACACTGCAGATGCGTGAGTTAAAAATATTAACTTAGAAGCTGCGCTTGCCATTTAGTTAATAGTCGAAGAGTTGGGGATACTTAAGATCATAAGATTATATATCAACAAGTTGTGGTAATTTCTATAATCTCCTGGTAAGTGGAGTTCAAAGAGCATAAATATTTAGAATTTGTGCTGAAATGGTAGTCATGGTGATCACTGATCAAAAGATTGGATACTCGATAAGATTCTTTAAATTAAAGTTTAATTCACACAGGACGCATAGCCAATCCATGATGCAAATAGTTCAGATTTTTAATTTTCTCCGTAAGAAAAGGGATTAAAGACAGAGATAATAAAGATAAATACCTCGTTCTGATCCCGAAATTCATTCCCGTAAACATCCTCGAAGCAAGCAAAAATATACTCCGCTATGAGAAAGAGAAAGCTAGTGACAATTCCTAGGGCTATAACTGTGAACAAGCCGGACAGATTGTTCATATCTAGTTTTGAGGTGGACTGACTTGAGTCTTTGTTACTTTTCTGAAGAAGAAATGCACGTGTTATTCAGATACAATGAAATGTTTTAATATTCTAATTGCAAAGATGCCCGAATTCGACGTTTAAAATTATATCCCGCATACAGAATAAAATTTATAAAATCTGCTTTTAAAGTGATAGTAGTGACGCGCACTGCTGTCGAGGAAAGATAAAAAGCAAGTTGGATTAGATAGACCAGTAAAGTGACAGTATGGATATTGGATATTTACACCTACCCCTTCACATTGTTTAGATTCCCCGGACTGTTTTATTTCCTCCCAAGCTGTATCTAGATCACTACTCTCACGAAACTTCAGGATTACATTGTTAAACAGGTCTAAATAGGGCGAGTTTGGAGGAAATCCAAAAGCAAACCTGAAATCATAAAATGAATCTCTAAAAGAGATAAGTTACTTAACATTTTTAAAAAATCTTATCGTTGCTTTCCGACTACATTAGCACAAAAACACAAATAATCCTGACAGTATTTGTTAATCGGTCATTGAGTTGAATATTATATTATTATAGTTTACGAAATCAGAACCCACAGAAACCACACAGGGGATTTACAAAGAACTAATAGCTGAAGGAAACTTACCCGAACTTACTAAACTTCTCGCCTGCTATCACTAGATCACATGTTCTTTGAACCATGAACTCTAATAAAGCACTCTCGTAGATAAACGCATAGTCACCCTGATAACAAAGCAAAGATAAGCCTGTTTGTTCATTATCAGATAACCATGACAACGGTTTCTTAATTCATTTTCGTTTTATTTTTCAAACTCTAACTTCACCTTAAACTTATGAATAAAGTTGTTTCGAAGAAAAAGAAAAGTTTTTAAAATTGCCATGCTAGATTGGAAAAAATAGGGACTGAAATATTTGTGAAACACACTAGAGAGCAAAGGAAGAGATAAATATCAATTATCAATATTTATACCTTTTTTACCCGTTCAAATCCTTCATCAGCACTATTTACGTTATCCAGCTTTTCTGCGATTGCTTTGTACTCATCTGGTGATAATGTTTTGTTCGCAAACACGCACAGGATTGTTCAAATTAATTGAAGCTTACTTGAAATACATTTATAAACGTTATTTTAGGATCTACATAAATCTGACTCCCAGTGAACCGTTATACCTTTGTTACTTCCGTTGAGTAGAGTTTGAGGACTAGTGGACTTGACAGTGCCCCATTTTAGCTTGTTTTGATAAAGAAGATCTTCAACACTATTGATTCCAACTCTCATCCTCGTCACTAAAACATTCCGACTCGGTTACTAACTAAGTAACCAGGTCAGGGCAAATTAACGAACCTTGTGTTGTCTAAAAGGGTCAATAACGCAAGAATCACAATAGAAAAACGATCTGGTCAAACATTCACAAGTCACACAGAAAACAATAAACCTGTAAGAAAGGCAGCTAAGTTAGCCGTGTACATAGCAATAAGGATCATCATAAAGAACCACCACACAGACAGGATGGCCCTCCCCGACAGGCAGTACGGAGCTCCCTCCACTGGGCCCTGCTGGAGGAGGGAGGCGATAACCAGCCACGCACTGTTACTCATGTTCAGTAGCTCTGAGGTGTGAGTTGTAGTTGGGGTTATCACGTGATAATCACGTGTGTAGGAACCCACGTGGGCGCAGTGGGTCTGTGTTATTGTCACATGCAATAAGATCAACCGACAAGATCGCTGTTTCATTTTTGACTCGACCCGATCTTACATTACATTCCAGTGACTGTTCCGGGCCCAAATTTCAGTAAGCCAAATAGCGTACAAGGCGTGGGTAGCAGAAAGTGGAGAGCTACAGTGTCACATGTGACCGGGAGGACCATCCTGTTGTGCCTGGTATAACGTGAGATTTAGAGGAGTAGTACCTGTGAAGTAGGCCGCCAGATTAGCCACGTACATGGAGAACACAATGATGACGAAATACCACGTACAGGTCAGGAGGATCCTCCCAGAGACACACTGGCTGGCTCCGTACACCACGCCTTGCTTTAAGAACGAGCTGTCTATTAGTAGCAAGGAGCCGTGTAAAGATAGTGCTTCTGAAAACATTTCCTTGCGTTTGGAAAGTTGTAGTTCTGGCACCCATTGAGCGACTAACGTGCATGTAAAACTTGATTATTCACGTTTGTCTTGGTGAGTATAAAAAACTGCTTACCTAATCTGTCTTCTCCATAGTTTTCAACCTCTTCCACCAAGCATTGATACGTGTTATACCTGAACAACGTAACTGTTTTACAAATTCAGCAGAAAAAGTCCACACAATTTGTTTAAATTTTCGAGTGATTCAATCGAGCCCATATTTTTAATTAATTTTTAATCGAAACATCCGAAGAAAAATATCTACCGCAAGATAAAAAGGACGAATTTTAAAACACCACAAAGACCACAAAAACCTTATCAAACTCTTCCTGCCATTTTTAGCCTCTCCCCGGGCCCTATTACACACCGAGCAAGGACAGGTCATGAGAGCGTGCATCTTCCTTCCGTATAACCCGTAGGGGGATACCTTGTTGTAAACACACACTATAATGGTGATAAGGAACGCTGATAGGATCACACAGTACCTATAGGTTAAAGTTTAGAGGTTAGATATGGAGGCAAGATTTAGAATTAGAGGTTAAGAGATATGATTCGGGTTCGAGTTAAATACGAGTTAGAACATTTTTAAAGCTTTGTAAGGGAAAAAAGGTGATATCTGTAGAAGTGCAGACTGTAGTAGTGCAGACTTCAGTACAATAACGTTAATTGTGGAACTTCTTTTATTGGTATGTGCAGACGGAATGATAAAGACATAAAGTGGTATTAAAAAGATTGTTAAAAGCGCAAACAATGAATAACTATGATTTTGAACAAACTGTAAGCAACTCACCAGACATTAGGATCGAAAGGTTGCAAGAAAAAAAACTCGTTCGAAGAGTCCACTTCTGCTTTGACTACTACAGCCAGTCCAACTTGCATGAAGGGAACACTAAAATCAATCGATTTCTCTCGTGCCGCATTGATAGAGAAGTGGACAGTCGAAATGTCAATAAACTGAACATGATGCGGATCAATGTCATATCACGATATTATCAATATCATATAATCAAATTATAATTTGAATACCATCTGAATTCTGATCGATCGTAAAGCTGCAGTATGGCTTTTTATCTTTCTACAATTATAGTCCATCCTTGATTGTAACTATTTCACAAAATAAAGTAAACGAGCTAAAGTCGATTTAAAGCCATATAAAGGCCTAACTTAAGCCAATTTAAAGCCTACTATTTACCCCTGTTAAGAGATCGTGTACCAAGCCGTCCCATCCGGTTGTATAGTTCGGGTTAACGCCTCCCCACCGATTATCTCGAGGTAACACAAACTTGTAGTTGAACTTTAGTTTCTGTCAATAATGTTAGTTTGATTTAAACGTTCATAAGAATTTTTTTCTTCTTAAAAATCATAGTAAATGGGAAACGCTTTTTTTAATAATCCAACAAATCACTGCCGATTGCTCGGATCTTATTTCTATAATGAGTGGTACCATTAGGCTTGGATCCCTGAACACCCTTTCACCAACAACAACAAAAAACACTACACTACCTACCTCTGAAATCTTTCTGACAAGGTCAATGCAGTATCCGTTGAAACAGCCGTTACCCTCACAACCGGTGCAGTCCTCAACCTTCTCCAGCCATCCCGCGCCACAGAGGAAACAGTTTTCTGTGTTATTGCACTGCTCGCACTTTATTCCCTAAAAAATTTGAACATTGTTTGGTTCTTTTTTCCTGCGATGATATGACTTTATGGGTCCTTTTCTGGGATCAGCTATAATTATAATTATACAATACATTGCTTAATTCTAAAATTTAAAGAGAATTTTTAGCAAGAAGCTTAGTCCTATACTGTGTGAACTGGTAATGCTATTTTGTGTACAAATTTTACATATTTAATAGTACCATATCAGTAAAAACCGTAATAACCTGGTTTAATTAAGTATATTATATATGTATTTGATAAGTCTTATATATAAGACTTCACAAATCAGTGTCTAGACAACATCAACGTGATAAATCTAACAATGCACCATGTGTTTAGGTTTTAACACTGTTCGCGCTATCGAAACAATGCTAAAAAACGAGCAGATTTGAAACAGAAAAATTTGCCAAATCTAAATGAATAAACGGGATCGACGCGATCGGTTGAAACAAAGGAAGTATCATCTTTATCACAAACCATCAATATTAGACCATCGCGTGTCAAATTTCTCACCTTCGCACTATAAAACAACCTCTAATCTTCAACAAATCATCAAACATTTTTCTCATCTTCAGTAATCAAACCGATTCAACAAACCCCTCTCAAAATGAAGTTCTTCGCTGTATTGTTCGCTGCCTTCTTCGCCATGAGCATGGCTAGCCCCGTGGAGCTGGAGGAGCGACAGGACTTCATCAACACTATCATCGAGATGGTCAAAGGATTTATTTGCGGCATGGACAGCCTTCCAGTAAGCCTTTACCCCATTTTTTCACATGTTATAAAAATGAATTGTTTTCTATCCCTCGTCGAATGGAATTAATTTGGTCCTCTTTCTGTCAGTCTTAGAGTTTAAAAATTAATCACTTTACTTTAATTTAATCTGCTGTTCAGCCTATCATTTATTAAATACAATTATTCCCTTTAGTTCGACAACCCTATGCTCCAGATGGTATTCAACATGGTCAAAGGATTCCTGCAATGCCCCGAAGGACAAGAATAAGATATATTCACTTTTAGTGTTACGTCATGTTTTGAGTCAATAAAACAGCTATGAAAAATGTTTTAAAAATCTTGACTTTTACTTCGTTATAATACCATCATAATGGTTACCATAATGGTTGTATCTACAAATCAGATCTGTGTTCCTCATAATAGGTTAATGTCGTTAATTGGTTATAATCATTGCTCTTAATTGGAGATACTGCTACAAAGTTTTTTAAGTCAAGCATACTGTTTGCAGAGCCCTCATATCAATATTTTCATCTTCAATACAACACAGCTTTGGGGTGACTCACTGATATTAATTCGGGAATATTACTTTGATCGTGTAAATTTGTGCCCAGATCCATTTTAGCCGAATAAGTATAGCAAATAAATTTGTATAACCAATCAAGACAAGATAGTTGACGACCGTCAAGAAATCGAGCATTATACTGTCAGAGCCTTCTCTTTTCAAACCGTCATATCAATATTTTCATTTTCAATACAACACAGCTTTGGGGTGACTCACTGATATTAATTCGGGAATATTACTTTTATCGTGTAAATTTGTGCCCAGATCCATTTTGGCAGAATAAGTATAGCAAATAAATTTGTGTAACGGTAAAAAATGTACAGTTTCTCTGTTGCCCTAAACGAGTTCGCATATTTAATATTAGTCAAAATCCTTATTTAACTAACAAGAATTAGTTGTTTATCATTATAGCACCTGTTGTGATTACTGGCAGTGCGTTTCTACCCAGTACCCACTTTTTAACTGACAATGGCATTCTTGTTTTAAGAGAGTCCCTGGCCAAACAATATCTAAATCAAGCTGCCAATAGCTGGTCTTACTGAATATATTGGATAGTTTTGAGGGACTACAAAAAATATACGCAAAGTTAGTTCGTAAGCTTGGTACTCGATTTACAGAATTAGATAGTTTTCAAATATTCTCTCTCTCTCAAAAGGTTTCCTTGTATTTGGGGAAATTCAAGAACTCGGATGTTATGAGCACATCGAAAGTTTTAACATGAAATGTATGAACTATGAATTTACCATTTACTGAATACTGGTACTGGCAGGTACAGATTTATGAATTGCACTGCAAACTGTGTTCATGTATCAAGTTAAGGACTCTAGAAACATTAAGTAAGGCCCCTTCCAGCCATTGCCACCTGCCACCTAATTTGGCAGGTATTACAAGACTGATAATCAATTTGAAGTCTTAAAATGATTCCTGCAAAATTAACCGAAAACCTGCCTATTTATCGTATTCGTGCAGAGATTTATCTCACGTAATTATTTAATCGAGTTGTTGATTTATAGAAAAGCCTGCAAAATTAACACAAAACCTGCCTCACCTTTCACCTACTCTCGGCAGGTTTGCTCTATTTTGGCAGGTTTTCCGTTAAATATAAAGTCGAATGCTGCAGATTTAACGCAAATCCTGCGTAAGTTGAGATAATTTGAATCAACTTGTGGCGTGATTAAACCTATATTGGCAGGGGTTTTGGATAATTTGAATGTACAATGTGGAATACTGTAATGATCGTATAACCTTATTACTAGGTAGGGTGTAGGACTGAGACTTGGTTTGTGCAAAGCTACCGAAGTACAGAATGCTACATGCCTACATGGCTCTATAGTTTATATTTTTATGCATGCAGTCACTAGTCAGTGGCGAAACGACCGCCCGACACTCCGGCAACCCCTGCTATGCGGAAGGGGATGGGGGGGTGCAGCTGCGGCCTCTTATAAGGTACGTTTCGCCACTGCATATTATCCACTGTTACCAACACGGGGTCTATGATAAGTTTGAGTATAAAAGTACAGGGTGGGCCAAAAGTCAGTGTGCAAACGTTGGCCTTAATAGCTCAGTCACTGAGTGCCCAATTGAAATACTTCCTTCTGGTATGACTTAGTACCACCACTGGTTCGAGGAATTTGTCAACTCAAAAAATATTCGCGTTCATTTTTTTCAAATGGAGGTTCATTTTCACATTTTTTTGATAGTTTGGATAATCGGATCAAGCTAAATGTTATTGAATTGTGTTTGGCCATTCGAATTACGTTTGCCCTGAAAGAATGAGAGTTCTAGCTTCTCAGATGACCGAGATATGAAGCATAACAAGCTTGTTCATTACGTGTGATCAGGTGATTGGTTTACCTAATCACGTGATAAGGTGACCCCATTAACTACCCCGTTAAACATTATGGGAATTGTTAAGGGTGCCCAATTAAGGTGTCGTGTCACGGTGTCACATAATCACCCAGTCAATTTGTTAACGAGATACACAAAATGCTTGTTAACTTCGTCATTTCTAATCCGTTTTGCCTCATTTTTTCAGATCATATGCAATCCGGCAAGGATTGATAATTTTATAAAAAATCCTGCCAAGTTAATGGAAAACCTGCCGATTTAACTTTATCACTGCCGTAATCCATCCGGAAAGGATTGATAATTTTATAGCAAATCCTGCCAAGTTAATAGAAAACCTGCCAAATAAAAAATACCTGCGCTGTTGATGCAGGATCACTAGTTAATTAGGCAGGTTTTGACATACAAAATTAAGAGAAAACCTGCGGATTTAGTGTAATATACTGCTGATCTGGACAGGGTAAATTAGATTACTAGGCAGGAGTGGTAATTTCGCAGTCTTCGCTATTAACTGGGCAGGTTTTAGGTTAAATTCGCAGTGGCAATGGCTGGAAGGGGCCTTAAGTAACGAAGGTACTACATATTAGTGCAACTGCATGTACCCAGTTTATATACCCTAGATTACTATTCCTGTACTTATCTTATTCATATTTCACCACAACTGGCGGTCATAGAATTTAGACTTAGTTCTGTCATGTACGGCGTTGAAATCCTACAAACTTATGTTTTCTATTCGAATCGTTTAGCAGGAAGAATGTACTACAACCTTGTTAACGGTTACAAAGTAAATCGGGGAACGGTTACCATGGTAATTACTGGGGTAGATGACAACAACAACAACAACAATGGCGAGCCTAGCAAGCTAGGATCGAGGGGCCGATCTCCTTTTCTTTTGCTGTGCGGCCACGGTCCTTTCGGTACAGTTTTCCCTGCAGCATAGTCGGGACGCAACCCCAGGCATATGCACTCGTGTTATTTTCGCAGCTCTAATGAGAGCCACTACCATTCACACCATGGTTTGGTGAGTGACGGCTGCCCATCAATTTTGAAATCTTGGCCCAACTGGGATTCGAACTCGCAACGTCAGGGCCAGTAGACAAGCAGATTAACCAACTAAGCCACTGAGCCAACTAAGCCACAGATGACACTGTTGCCCTGGTTACAGTATCTATGGTAGCTGGGTAGAATTTCTAGTCAGAGTAAGATAAGAATAATATATATTTAGTCCAGTACCTGACAATGAAGAGTACCATGTTCTGGTGTACTAATGTTGCAGGCACTGTTGTGGAGATCACACGCTGCAGGGTAAAAATAAGTAAAAGGGTGAATAAAACGAGGCGATTAATTATTCCAGTCATACAAATCAGATAACATCAAATTTACTGTTATCTCGTATTAAGCAGCGGTTACAAACCTTTATGAGCACAAATTTGATATTCCATCTCCGTACAGTCTTCTTCCAAGAGCACACCGTCAAGTGGTGTAATCTTAGTGCAGTTCCAGTAAGAACAGTTCACTACCATCTCTGAGATGAAGGGGAACTCCTGAATATATTCAGTAAAAATAAGATAAGAGAAGGGGAACTCCTGAATATATTCAGTAAAAATAAGATACGCTTTTAATCATATCACAGTCAAGGAAGATAATATACATATATTATCCTGTTTTATGGGAAGATACAAGATTTGTTTAAGATAAAATTAAGGAGTCATAGCATGCCTTAAATTAGCTATTCAGTTTGTATAACCAATAATAGACTGACCTTGTTGATTCCCAGAATTAGAGTTCGATTCTGTAGCGTCATTGGTTGATATTCAGGTTGTTGGCGGGGATCCTTTCCCATGAAGATGATGTTCTCTCCATTCTCTTTGATCCGAGGCTGCTTCATACTCCCTTCTTCTAGTTCAAACTCTCCCACCTGAAAATGTATTTATGCACGCTCAATTTTTAATTAATCCTAAATGAATATTCAACCTAATTTAGCTATCAGAAGGAGGTGTAACTAGGATTATAATTATTATCAAATGTGGTTCAGATTTGTGTAAAAATAATAACAAATCTGTTAAGTTGTATCTCGGCTTAATCTAGCTATGTGTCGGAGGTGGTAATCCAAAGAGTTGTGAAGAAAGCTCAATGTGGAAGTTATTATCACCTCGAAGAACTGTCTCTGTTCTTTGAAGTTCATGATTGAGTATTTGAGATTCAAAGATTCCCCAGAACTGTTGAACTTGTAATTCCTGCTCGCTCCATCATACTCAACCTGCAGTTTTTAGTTTTTATAATTTATATCATAAATTTATGGCTTAATTTTTTTAAAAAGAAGACAAACAGCATGCAATTGTGTTCCACGATGCTTGAATGATAATCATTCAAATTAAGACGATAGGAGTCAAGAAAAGAGATTGTGTACAAAAACCTGCAGTATAATCCCTATTTTATGTTTTACCTGAGTCAGATATCTGAAGAATTGTTCACCATTTTCCCATATTTCGATTGCTCGCGGACCTTTTCCTTTAAGTTCTGCCTCATCTTTACACTTTTTATTAATGCAAACTATCTTCACCTCTCTTAATTCATTTCCCTGGAAATTTTGATGATTATTGTAGGACTAACGCGATGAGAGCTTTGACATATTTATTCTTTAATGCTATAAAGCATGGAAAAAAACATCAGAATTCGTGAAATTCATAAAAAAACAGATTAATACCGAGAACAGAGGTTTTTGGTTATGATTTTAATGTTTTAATGAAAAATTCCTGATAGCCTAAAAATAAAACATGCAAACAAGTCATGATCTGTTTAAGTGTGTAAAATCTCATGATCACTGAATCAATATTTTATTTTCAATATTAACTAATATATTTAATATGTACTAACCCTGATTAAATAGTTATGAAGAGCCCAAGCGAAGATGAACACTGAATCGTAAACCATAGCTGCAAACGGCTGAAATATTTGACAGAAATAGTGAGCAGTGGGGGGGGGGGGGGGGATTGGGGGATGGTGGGGGGGGGGGGTGCCAACAGTGAGTCGTACTATTTTTATAATAACATAATAACCAACAAATACCGACTTTAAAGGTAAGTACGCATTGACTTACCATTCACATTTTCAAATATTAACAGATCATAATTTTGGTTCTTCAATAGTAATTATAGTAAACTTACATTTTTGTTCAGATCATACTGCTTCATTCTTCTGGTGTTGTTGAATTTGGCTTCGTAAGACTTTTTAAAGATCATGTACTTATCTAGCTCATCGTCCTCGTTCTCATTTTTGTAACTTGGCAGAGTTCCAAGTAAACCATTCCACTCCTTCCAAGTAGATCTTCCTTGGGTCAGATCATCCTGGAAAAAGTAGAGGATCTATAAAACACGTGGAATCGATTTAACACGTATCTCTGATAGAACCAGTGACTAGGACTTTTGATTTGGTAAAAGTACAACAAAATATAACAGTTTTCACATTCCTGATCTTCAGAAAAAAGGCAATGAAATTCACCTGATTACCAACCACTCCGTCTGTAACAATCCACATGTAGCCGTCCCCTACTAAACCTTTGCTGATGTAAGAATAAATTATTATTTCTTTGCAATAGTTCAGCCCTTTTTCGGGAAGTTAAAAAAGAGTCCCCGGGGGAACGACAATACTGATCACCCAACTCGGAACATTTCCTCGTAAGAAAAAATCGAAAAGATAAGATAAGATAAGATAAGATAAGATAAAATAAAAACTTCTCAGCAGCTATAAGAACTCTGTTGGCAGCTCCAGCCTGGCAGTTGAGAACTATTATTCGGGCTTCTGATTTCTTAATAACGTCCAACTCAATACTGTAGGAGTACGAGTTAATTGTAAGTGGATTTTATAGCAATTTTAAGTTAATTTTGTTGCTCTCCCATGAAAGGGAAATGGCAGTGTTTAACTTACTCAACGTTCAACTGAGAAGTATCCTTGGGAACAACAAAGTGTTGGGTATTTAGTATCTTCCACTTTTTATCAGATGCTATCTGCTGTAGTCGCAGCATCCCATTGATTCCTGTTTATTTTAGATTTCAGAAATATTGCATGTAATTCATAATATGGACTTACGATTGTGAAAAGAACTTATCTGATTAAAATTTTAACAAAGGTCAGAAAATTGTTTAAAAAAGTCTCTATACAACAGGTTTGTCTGTAAAATAAGCTTACATATTTTATAAGCTTTTAACAAGAATTTCGCCGCGGTTAAACCATGCATCACCAATTTCCCCACCACCTACGATGTACTTGTACCATTAATTCTTTTGAGTGACTGGAAAAAAGTGCATCATATTTACATACTGTGTTTTTTATAAATGAGTGGGATTTGTGCATGGTAAACCTGATCACTTATTTCCTACGATCTTTTTGCCTTCGGCAAGAGTAGGGAAAAAAATCTCACCATAGCTGTCGTAGCTAGTTAAAATGGAGAAATATATCCAGCCATATCTGTCAAGTATTGCAGCAATAGCCTCGCTTTGATGAGTATCTGAAGAGAAGTAAATAACTTTTAGTGCGGCATATGGGATCGTTATATATTTTATAAAACGTACCAGCTCGCCATTTTTGATAAGTCGGATTAGAACCTGTAAGACTGGCCTCCAGCTTGCCATTTTTGAGATCCAAGCATATCGAGGTTGTTCAAAGTAAAGGGTATAGAATGTTCAGCTCGACAAAATACCGATGGAAATTATTTCGTAGGCCATAACATGACTCGTCCAGATCCAGTCTTAACCTTAAATTGGACATAACTCACTAGTATAGCTGAAGTAGCTCTGATACGTCGGATAACGGATTAGAACCTGTAAGATTGGCCTCCAGCTCGCCATTTTGAGATCCAAGCATATCGAGGATGTTCAAAGGGTATAAAATGTTCAGCTCGACAAAATACCGATGGAAATTATTTCGTAGGCCCTAAAATTACTCATCCAGATCCAGTCTTAACCTTAAATTGGACATAACTCACTAGTTGAAGTAGCTCTGATACTTCGGATTAGAACCTGTAAGACTGGCCTCCAGCTCGCTATTTTTGAGATCCAAGCATAACGAGGATGTTCAAAGGGTGTAGAATATTCAGCTCGACAAAATACCGATGGAAATTATTATTTCCCTGATACGTCGGATTAGAACCTGTAAGACTGGCCTCCAGCTCGCTATTTTTGAGATCCAATCATATCGAGGTTGTTCAAAGGGTGTAAAATGTTCAGCTCGACAAAGTACCGATGGAAATTATTATTTCCCTGATACGTCGGATTAGAACCTGTAAGACTGGCCTCCAGCTCGCTATTTTTGAGATCCAATCATATCGAGGTTGTTCAAAGGGTGTAAAATGTTCAGCTCGACAAAATACCGGTGGAAATTATTTCGTAGGCCCTAAAATGACTCGTCCAGATCCAGTCTTAACTTTAAATTGGACATAACTCACTAGCTAAAGTAGCCCTGCAACACGTCGGATTAGAACCTGTAAGACTGGCCTCCAGCTCGCCATTTTTGAGATCCAATCATATCTAGGATGTTCAAAGGGTGTCGACTGTAGAATGTTCAGCTCGACAAAATACCGGTGGAAATTATTTCGTAGGCCCTAAAATGACTCGTCCAGATCCAGTCTTAACTTTAAATTGGACATAACTCACTAGTTGAAGTAGCTCTGATACGTCGGATTAGAACCTGTAAGACTGGCCTCCAGCTCGCCATTTTTGAGATCCAATCATATCTAGGATGTTCAAAGGGTGTCGACTGTAGAATGTTCAGCTCGACAAAATACCGGTGGAAATTATTTCGTAGGCCCTAAAATGACTCGTCCAGATCCAGTCTTCACCTTAAATTGGACATAACTCACTAGCTAAAGTAGCCCTGCAATACGTCGGATTAGAACCTGTAAGACTGGCCTCCAGCTCGCCATTTTTGAGATCCAATCATATCTAGGATGTTCAAAGGGTGTAAAATGTTCAGCTCGACAAAATACCGGTGGAAATTATTTCGTAGGCCCTAAAATGACTCGTCCAGATCCAGTCTTAACTTTAAATTGGACATAACTCACTAGCTAAAGTAGCCCTGCAATACGTCGGATTAGAACCTGTAAGACTGGCCTCCAGCTCGCCATTTTTGAGATCCAATCATATCTAGGATGTTCAAAGGGTGTCGACTGTAGAATGTTCAGCTCGACAATATACTGGTGGAAATTATTTCGTAGGCCCTAAAATGACTCGTCCAGATCCAGTCTTGACTTTAAATTGGACATAACTCACTAGCTAAAGTAGCCCTGCAATACGTCGGATTAGGACCTGTAAGACTGGCCTCCAGCTCGCCATTTTTGAGATCCAATCATATCTAGGATGTTCAAAGGGTGTCGACTGTAGAATGTTCAGCTCGACAATATACTGGTGGAAATTATTTCGTAGGCCCTAAAATGACTCGTCCAGATCCAGTCTTAACTTTAAATTGGACATAACTCACTAGCTAAAGTAGCCCTGCAATACGTCGGATAACGGATTAGAACCTGTAAGACTGGCCTCCAGCTCGCCATTTTTGAGATCCAATCATATCTAGGATGTTCAAAGGGTGTCGACTGTAGAATGTTCAGCTCGACAATATACTGGTGGAAATTATTTCGTAGGCCCTAAAATGACTCGTCCAGATCCAGTCTTAACTTTAAATTGGACATAACTCACTAGCTAAAGTAGCCCTGCAATACGTCGGATAACGGATTAGAACCTGTAAGACTGGCCTCCAGCTCGCCATTTTTGAGATCCAATCATATCTAGGTTGTTCAAAGGGTGTCGACTGTAGAATGTTCAGCTCGACAATATACTGGTGGAAATTATTTCGTAGGCCCTAAAATGACTCGTCCAGATCCAGTCTTAACTTTAAATTGGACATAACTCACTAGCTGAAGTAGCTCTGATACGTCGGATTAGAACGTGGAAGACTGGCCTCCAGCTCGCCATTTTTGAAATATAATTATATCGAGGTTGTTCAATGGGTGTAGAATGTTCAGCTTGACAAAATACCGGTGGAAATTATTTCGTAGGCCCTAAAATGACTCGTCCAGATCCAGTCTTAAGTTTAAATTGGACATAACTCAATAGCTGAAGTAGCTCTGATACTTCGGATTAGAACCTGTAAGACTGGCCTCCAGCTCGCTATTTTAGAGATCCAAGCATAACGAGGATGTACAAAGGGTGTAGAATACTCAGTTCGACAAAATACCGGCGAGAAATTATTTTTTCGAAATTATTTCGTACGGAGGCTAGCAGTTGTGGCCTCCGTACGCCAGTATAATTGTTGGCCGTATGTTTTATGTGAATTGTGGATTTTTGTCATCTGTGTACATTGGTTTATGGCTGCTAAACACAGGTTTTGTTAAAGTGCTTGATTAAGCAACAATTATTTACTGCCATTTTCAACACCACAGAGATAAATATAGCTCGAATTATCTTTAATAATTATTAAAAAGTTGAAAATAACAATATAATACCAGTAGGAGGCATCTGAAGGAGGTAAGGTCTGAAAATGGGATGAATAAGGAATGGATCAGTAGCGGTGGGAGCAATGACAGGAATGTTATAACTGTTAGCAATGTCAGCTACTGTAGTGACGAGATGGGATGGACCAGGGAATATGATGGCACTCACACCTCTTTGTAGCAGCTCGCATACTGGGGAAGAATTCTGAGTTTACATTTGAGTGGGTACCAAAAGTTAATGTTATATAAGTTTCTCTGTCGGAGAGCGATGTTGAATTATTCAAAACGTACTTTGATTTATTTAACAGCGATGGAACGAATATTTCCATACCTTCTTGAACTGCCTCTCTAGGTGAGTTGCTGATTGTTCTGTTAATGATCTCTATAACAGTCCACCTGATACGATTATAATTAATTGTAATTAATTAGGTGAGATTATTATAATTATGTGTGATTATATTTTTTACTCGTTTCAAGCCCGGTCAAAATATTGGCCAATTCTATAAAACCTCATAAGTTAGTTTCCTTTTAGTCAAAATATCAAAAGTTTAGCGTCCAAAAGTTAAACTCGGTATAGCCACTTCCAAACTCAATTAGCACCCAAATCTCTATATTAAACAAAGGAATAGGCACCGGGTTGTGTTAACGTGGTCAAAAAATAAGTAGACATGTGATAAAACGTTTAAAATCATTGAGAAATCTTATAGATCATTTCACAATGAAACGATAACATCATCCAGCCTCATGGAAACATGAAATTAGATTACAGTTTAACTTGGAAAATTTAACAGGTTAGAGGTGGAGTCTTTGTATTAGCAGCTAATAAGATTTAAAGCTATCCACCTGTTTGTACATTTAAATAGGATAGCAGAACTGAGATGAGTATCAATTCGGAAAGTCCTGACACCAAAATGGTAAGTGTTGAGACTCATCATATGTGGAGACATAGTGCAATCCGTCTATCGAATCACAATGTTCTTGTTTTTATCAACAAAATGGTTCATTTCCATTACGATTTATGCCAGCTATTTTAAATATTTCACAAACTTTTCTTAGCCATTTGTATAGTATATTTTAACCAAGTAACCCTCTTTCAGAAGATCCTGATAATCATAGCGTTTGTTGCTCTGTCTCAAGCTGACGAGACTGATAACATCAAGTTAGCAGCTGATAACCCTCAGAAACTTCAAGCTCTCTTTAGCCAGTTCAGACAAGATAACCATCGGGTCTACAAGAATGCTCTCGAAGGCAGGATGAGAATGGCTGTCTTCAGGTATGCTAATTTTCCCCTTTTTCTATGTGACTTTCTTGGGTTTTTCTTGTAACTGTACGCTGAGAAATACCATCTACTACATATATTGGCATATTCTACTCATATATTAGCATATTCTACTACATATATTAGCATAATCTACTACATATATTAGCATATTCTACTACATACATTAGCATATTCTACTACATATATTAGCATATTCTACTCATATTTACAGGATCCTATTATCGTATCTACTATCTATTGTAACCTTGTAACCCTCCGCAGAAACTTCGTTAAGAAAGCAGCCAAGATAAACGCTGAACAAGACGATATCACAGTTGGAATAACTTTCTTCGCTGATCTGACTGAAGAGGAAAAGAGGGCGTATCACGGTGCTAACGTTACTGACCAGGTAAGCTCTCATAATCATATCCTCCACTAGTTACCAAACTTGGCCAATTTTATACTACCTCAAATTATTTGGGGCCAATTTCAGGCGCTTTTTGCAGTTTAAGTTTCTCTAGTTTTCAAAGATTATATCTGAACATACTTCAGAAAACATACGTTATCATTCCACAAGCTTCGTGATACGCCCCCATTATCAAGTTATTAAAATTATCAGGTAGAAGACGCAGAAGAATACGTCGCTGACGAGGACGAGGCAGCACCAGCCTGGGGCAGCTCCATCTCACACAAACACCGTTACGGAGCCGTCAAGAGCCAGGGCACATGTGGTAGTTGCTGGAGCTTCGCTTCTGTTGGTCTCGTTGAGGGATACCAGTCCGCACTAACAGGCCGATATACAGCTCTCTCAGAGAAGAACGTCCTGGATTGCTCTAATTGCGGAAGCTGCAATGGAGGTTACCACACGCAGGCCATGAACTGGATCAAGAGATACAACAAACTGGCCTCCGCATCTAGCTACCGGTTAGACTCAATCACCTGGCAATTGTAGCCACCATATTCAACCATATCCACCCGTTTTACATTTACAAGATATAGCAACCATTCAACTATTTCTCTACAGAGGGAACCAAATACTATAACTTCAAATGTAGAACCAGGAATATTCTTACTCCTCTCTGCTTCAGGTACTCACCATCCAAGGGAAGCTGTCGAGGAAGCAGTCACCGGAACGCTATGACCATCAGAGTGTCCTCAGTGTACACTGCACGAGGTAGCACTAACATGGCCAGCGCTCTCAAGAAGGGACCTGTTATTTTCTACCTTTACAACTTCCACGGAGTCGCTGTCGAGGGATACAAAGGAGGTAACCATCAACACGAATTTTTATCTTGTAACGGATTTATTGCTTTTAGCTCCATCGATGTGGATGCCGGTGGGGAGGCGGCCAGTGCACCCAAAATCACTCATCCCGTCCAATTCAAATAAAAATATAGTTCACATCCTCACCATAAATATCCAGATTGACAACATCAATGTAAATCTTCAGTTTGACGACAGAGTGCTAACTGGAACTAGTTTTGCACCGCTCACTCGCACCTATAACAAATCAAATTACCCTACAGGAGTGCTGACTTCAGCCAACAACGGACCCCGAGCAATGAACCACGTGGTAGTAGGAGTAGGCTACACCTCCACTCAGTGGCAGATGAGAACAGTTGGGGGTCCTGGTGGGGCCAGGGGGGATACTTCAGCAAGTCCAGGAGTGATAGCATGGTGGCCAGCAATGTGGTGTGGATGACTGGCGCTAGAGCCGGGCAGGAGGAGAAGGAAGAATAGATATCGTTTTATTGGATCTATATTTATTTTATTTGGAAATACTTTAAATAGTGTGTCTTTATTGTTTTCCCCATTTTTCAGCGGTCTTGCTATTAATTTCTGTTCCTGACTCCACCTTACCATTTAAAGATTTAACCACCAAAATCCACGTGGTTATTGCCATTGGCTGAGGTATTGAGTCTGTCGATCAATCAGTCGTAAACTTTTAAATCGAAGAAAATCTACAATTTCATGAATATCAATAAAACACGATTAATGATTACAAATACCTCAGCAGAACATTTTTCTGATCTCTGATGTGTTCTTTGGCCAAATTTGCAACATCTGGGTACAAATCTTCTCGCTCTTTTCTTTCGACAATCAGTCCTGTAAAGAAACATACCGTTGTCATCATGATGTCAATGTTATAGTTCAGCTTATAGTTTTGGAGAGGATTCTACACATGACACAATTTTGAGTCGATAATCGTTTTAATCACAATTATATTATTTTACTGTGGCTTAAGGTCTCTGTGGTAAGAAAGTATGAAAATGTTAAAACGAACGTTCCTGACCAAAATGTATGAAATAAGGGGCCGGTATAATTACATTAGAAGTTGAACTGATGTTCCGAACCTATATGTACGATATGAGGGGCGGGTATGTTGGGAGTTGGCTGATAAGAACTAAGTCCCGGATTATAGTTGAAACTCTGTTCAGTCAAGATAAGAACCAGCAATAGTAGTATCAGATAAAGAGCTATCATCGAGCCATGCAAGGGATCGACTGAAGTGTTTTAGATCAGCTTGAAAGTAACAAAATCTTATGATCACCATGTCCCTTTGCTACTTTGAATGTTCGCAATTAATATAAATAAGACCAACATAGTGCATGTCGTACGTGTTGATCAACTACACGTATTGATATACTGTTTAATGGATTGACATTAAGGGTTTAATGTTTATACTTAAGATCAAGTTGATAGCAAAACATTTCGAATCGAGAGTCGGAAGTATAAGTGGTTAGCTTTACAAAACTAAACGAATATTATCCGGGATAAATAAGAATAAAATGTTAAGTTTAACCCGCGGATAATTAGACCTTAGTACCGACTGGGAGGAGGGAAGGTTTCTACCTACAACTAATAGTGTATACTAAGGCGAGGCAAGCCAGGAAAAGGAGCTAATTGGCTCTGTAGCCTAACGAAACCAGTTCTGATTGGTTCAAACATGTGGATAGTGTTGGTGATTGGTCGAGGTGACGGAAGGGAAATATGCTGATTGAGACTATTGGGCATGGTTCATATTATTAACTGCTGTTATACTGGGGCGAGCCTGAATTTCTTATTATACGGATACGTGTTAAACGTTGTGATTAGAAATGATTTAGATTTTATTAGGGTTGGTGCTTTAAGTTTTAAACACAACACACATTATATGTGTTTAAAATTAAAACGGGACACAATGACAATGTTTTCAAGTTCCAGAATTATAATTGAGTTTTCTATGAATATGTTAGTATGAGCGACTTCTAGCATTTTGTCATTCCTGATCTAATGCTCCTGATCATTACGAAGATTGAATTCTCACAATTAACTGAAATAATCTCAATCATATCGAAGAACTTTCTGAAAGATTTTTGTGATGAATTCCAGTAATTTCCCCCGGACTCTAGTGACTGAATTTTGCATTGATGATGACATGACATTGAGTTGCTGGATGTAACACGCACTGCAGGACAAATAAAAATGTTTGTCCGTTTGTGATCCATAGCAACGGAATTCTATCTCAATTGATGATTTAAGACCATCAAGCTTGCTAGGCGCTCGAAGCTTTTAGGCTGCACGTTAGCATCTGCATAAATTCAACTAGCAAGTAAGAAAACATGTAGTGAGCTTGACATGTCCGCCACGTGACAGCAAACTTGCAGCTTGCCTACATCGTTCGGTGGACAATCAACATGCAATGACATTTGTTCCATGGTAACGGTCCGACTATATCAAGCCGGAGAACGCTGCGGGGAATCAGATTGAATCAGTTCGTTTCGCAGAAGTTTGTAATAAGTTCAAGAACACATTTTCACTATGAGAGAAATCGTTCATCTTCAGGCTGGACAGTGTGGAAACCAGATTGGATCAAAATTCTGGGAGGTACGTTCATCTGATCTACTGTATTTACTTATTTCCAATACTTTTATAATTATTTTCTTCTTTTAAGGACTGCAAGAGTATCAACAGACTATTGATCTTTTTCGTTACATTTGTAATAAACTCCTCGATAAAACAGCAATGTACAGTGTTTGGTTGCCTGATCGAAATTAAACATAATCCGTATCTCCAGGTCATTTCTGACGAGCATGGCATTGACCCAACTGGAACCTACCACGGAGACTCTGACCTTCAGTTGGAGAGGATCAATGTTTACTTCAACGAGGCTACCGGAGGAAAGTACGTCCCCCGTGCTGTCCTTGTAGACTTGGAACCTGGAACCATGGATTCTGTTCGATCCGGACCTTTCGGCCAGATCTTCAGACCAGACAACTTTGTGTTCGGACAATCTGGAGCAGGAAACAACTGGGCCAAAGGACATTACACCGAGGGAGCTGAGCTCGTCGACTCTGTTTTGGACGTAGTCAGGAAGGAAGCCGAGAGCTGTGACTGTCTTCAGGGATTCCAACTTTGTCACTCTCTAGGAGGTGGTACTGGATCCGGAATGGGAACACTCCTGATCTCCAAGATCCGTGAGGAATACCCCGACAGGATCATGACCACTTTCTCTGTCGTACCTTCCCCCAAAGTATCAGACACAGTTGTTGAGCCTTACAACGCCACCCTCTCCGTCCATCAGCTGGTTGAGAACACCGACGAGACCTTCGCTATTGACAACGAGGCTCTCTACGACATTTGCTTCAGGACCCTGAAACTCACCACCCCCACATACGGAGATCTTAACCATCTCGTCTCTGCCACCATGTCTGGTGTCACCACCTGCCTGAGGTTCCCTGGACAGCTTAACGCTGATCTCAGGAAACTCGCAGTCAACATGGTTCCCTTCCCCCGTCTCCATTTCTTCATCCCCGGATTCGCTCCTCTCACCAGCCGAGGATCCCAGCAGTACAGAGCTCTGACCGTTCCCGAGCTCACCGCCCAGATGTTCGATGCCAAGAACATGATGGCCGCTTGCGACCCCAGACACGGCCGATACCTCACAGTCGCCGCTATGTTCAGAGGACGTATGTCCATGAAGGAAGTTGATGAGCAGATGTTGAACGTACAGAACAAGAACAGCAGCTACTTCGTCGAATGGATCCCCAACAACGTCAAGACCGCCGTCTGTGACATTCCTCCCCGAGGCCTCAAGATGTCTGCCACTTTCATCGGAAACAGCACCGCCATCCAGGAGCTCTTTAAGAGGATCAGCGAACAGTTCACCGCTATGTTCAGGCGTAAGGCTTTCCTCCACTGGTACACTGGTGAAGGTATGGACGAGATGGAGTTCACTGAAGCCGAGAGCAACATGAACGATTTGGTCTCTGAGTACCAGCAGGTAATTTAATTTACTAAAAACTTATAAACAGCCATGAGTGGTTTTTCGTTCTATTTACAAATTAATTTGTATCATCGAGAAGCAGCAACCTCTACCGCTACGTCATAAATCATTCCCCTGTCAATATTAGATTTAAACGTTTAACACAATGTTATTTTCAGTATCAAGATGCCACCGCCGAAGAGGAAGGTGAATTCGATGAAGAAGAAGGTGAAGAAGAAAACTAAATTCTTCTCTCGAGATGATTAATTGACATGCCACCTCAGATTGGCGATCGCCTTCATTGCCAAGGTATTTTCTCGGCTGCGATTATGCCGACACCCTGTACGGACTCCAACTTTAAGATTAAGTTCTGTTTTTCCAACTAACCTGTATTATATTATAAGATTTTTATTTCTATTTGTTTTTGTGATGATTGCTATTTGTAAACATTAATTTTGCGGTTTTATAAATGATGTTTTTATTGTTTACAATTCATGACGGTATGCAAACCTTTTGCTTTAAATAAATAACATAACATAGCAAAGAGGTACAGAATATTAAGCCAAAATAAGGCAAATATAAGGTCTAGATTTAAATGACGAAATAAAGGAAAAACATTATTTAGTTTTACTATTGTAGCGCGATGCGTTACTGTGCCGCGCCGCGCACTTAATAAGGCTTCTCTGGCTAGATCGGCGAGATGCGCTACTAGACTGTGCCGCGCCGAGCTGCCATGAATTGACATCGTCAATTATTAAAACTTAATTGAATTAAGTTTTACTACCCCGCTACTATGCAACAAAGATAAATATTATACGAATGAAATACTAAAAGAATTTGAAATAAAGATTTTCCTTATAGTGTTTGGTTAAGCGCCTTCAAACTGTGCTTATAGTTATACACAATTTGAAAATATTTACAATCGAGTTTCAAACCAAAATATAAATCCTATAAATTTTTCCGGGATTCTGGCTTTTAATATCTCACTGACTAATTGGTTAACATCTGTCAAATTTCAGTCCTTGAAATTTCTTCTTCAAAAACTGAAAATGGGACAGAAAATGGGACGGTATGGTTTTTCAATTTTCTTCCAGATTTTGACTTCCAGTACCCCAATTTAGCAATTTGGTTTCAAACCATCATTAATCAACTGACTAATTCAAATTGGTCTCTGGGCAAAAAGTCCATCCAATCTGTCAAATTTGTGTTCAGAAATTTTCATATTTGAAAATGGGACAGAAGTTGGAAAATATGAATTTTCGATTTGTTAAGCTTTCTGCTGTGAGCTTCCTTCGACCGAAATCAAACTTCCAGCACCTCGATCGTGTCATATGCCATCTATAGTTGACTGACTAATTGGTTGCAGGTGAGAAATTCAATCAAAACTGTAAAATTTCGGTCCTTGAAATTTCATCTTCAAAAACTGAAAATGGGACAGAGAATGAGACGGTATGATTATTCAATTTTCTTCCAGATTTTAACTTCCAGTACCCCAATTTGGTTTCAACCCATCATTAATCAACTGACTAATTGGTCTCTGGGCAAAAAGTCCATCCAATCTGTCAAATTTGTGTTCAGAAATTTCATATTTGAAAATGGGACAGAAGTTGGAAAATATGAATTTTCGATTTGTTAAGCTTTCTGCTGTGAGCTTCCTCCGACCGAAATCAAACTTCCAGCACCTCAATCGTGTCATATGCCATCTATAGTTGACTGACTAATTGGTTGCAGGTGAGAAATTCAATCAAAACTGTAAAATTTCAGTCCTTGAAATTTCATCTTCAAAAACTGAAAATGGGATGCAGAGAATGGGACGGTATGATTTTTCAATTTTCTTCCGGATTTTGACTATGACTTTCAGTACCCCAATTTGGTTTCAAACCATCATTAATCAACTGACTAATTGGTATCTGGGCAAAAATCCATCCAATCTGTCAAATTTGTGTTAAGAAATTTTCATATTTGAAAATGGGACAGAAGTTGGAAAATATGAATTTTCGATTTGTTAAGCTTTCTGCTGTGAGCTTCCTTCGACCGAAATCAAACTTCCAGCACCTCGATCGTGTCATATGCCATCTATAGTTGACTGACTAATTGGTTGCAGGTGAGAAATTCAATCAAAACTGTAAAATTTCGGTCCTTGAAATTTCATCTTCAAAAACTGAAAATGGGATGCAGAGAATGGGACGGTATGATTTTTCAATTTTCTTCCGGATTTTGACTTTCAGTACCCCAATTTGGTTTCAAACCATCATTAATCAACTGACTAATTGGTATCTGGGCAAAAATCCATCCAATCTGTCAAATTTGTGTTAAGAAATTTTCATATTTAAAAATGGGACAGAAGTTGGAAAATATGAATTTTCGATTTGTTAAGCTTTCTGCTGTGAGCTTCCTCCGACCGAAATCAAACTTCCAGCACCTCGATCGTGTCATATGCCATCTATAGTTGACTGACTAATTGGTTGCAGGTGAGAATGGGACGGTATGATTTTTCAATTTTCTTCCAGATTATGACTTTCAGTACCCCAATTTGGTTTCAAACCATCATCAATTAACTGACTAATTGGTCTCTGGGCAAAAAATCCATCCAATCTGTCAAATTTGTGTTCAAATTTTCATATTTGAAAATGGGACAGAAGTTGGAAAATATGAATTTTCGTTTTTTAAGCTTTCTGCTGTGAGCTTCCTCCGACCGTAATCAAACTTCCAGCACCTCAATCGTGTCATATGCCATCTATAGTTGACTGACTAATTGGTTGTAGCCTGCAGGTGAGAGATTACATCTTCAAAACTGAAAATGGGACAGAGAATGGGTCAGTATGATTTTTCAATTTTCTTCCGGATTTTGACTTCCCTCTAGTTGTGGAACATGCAACAAGAAAATTGAGAATAATCTTGTGCGAGGGTAGGGACCCAGATGTCGTTTCTAACTCAAATAACTTTAAGGTAAATTAAGGAGGCTTCTCATCAGTAGCCGCACCTCCTTACTCGGTTTCTGAACTGGAATTCTATGGGCTTCCAGGCGGCCAGACCGAGTATTACCATCCCATCCTTCTAGAGTTCATCACAAGTAGCACCCACCTTGAAGATCTTTGACACCCAGACACACCCCATTGGCGAACAAACTTTGGATATAATCTTACATGCTCCCGAAGGAATCCCTGGTTTATGGTCTTTCTCATCGTCACCAGCACTTTCACTAGAGTCAACAGCCCTTTCACTGTAGTCATCAGCCCAATCACTGAAGTGTACAGAAGTACAGTTGTGGAACACAACAAGAAAATTGAGAATAATCTTGTGCGAGGGTAGGGACCCAGATGTCGTTTCTAACCCAAATAACTTTAAGGAGGCTTCTCATCAGTAGCCGCTAATAATAAGTAGCCGCTAATAATAACAATTTGACAATATTTTAATTAAAATTCCACTCAATTTCACTCTGATAGTGATAAAATTTAGAAATTGATCGAATATCCGGCTATAATAGTAAGTATTTTAGAAGGTGCTTGGCCGGATATCATAACAATAATTTCGGTCAGAACTTTGAAATTTCGGTCCAGGAAATGTCTAATTAGCTAATTCAAAGAAACGAATTGTTGAGAAAAAGAAAATGAATCTCGATATAAGAAACCACTGAAACAAAATTTATTTATCACTGTTGCTACTCGATAGCAAGTTACAAATATATACCGTTTAATAATACTAATAGAAAAACTACGCTACTCAAATAGAAAACTTCTAAAATAAAATTATTAATATATCCTTCTAAATCTAATGGCTTACAAAATAATCAATAATTTAAGCTATACTATTGTAGACAACTGAAGACGAAAACAAATGATGTGGACCGCGCGCCACTCGTGAATTAATTCCTTTTTATAGATCCAAGCGACTTATAGTGAGTGAAGTTTTGAAACGGAAAATAAATTACTGCTAAGCCAAACCGGCAATATCTTCATTATATATTTTAAATCCCACAAAACATAAACCAACGGAATCATTAGTATTAGATTCTGTATACAGGTCATAACCCGGTCACTTGCTCACTTGACGAACTAGTCACGTGATATAGCATTGGAATAATCAGCGAGGAATTATCGACATTAACGAGACGATGATGATAGCAGTAGTCGAGATTTCTCTAGAGCAGCTCCAAGTCCACGTGCCTTATTTCTGGATACTTCCTCTGAAATTTTATCATTGATTATCTGAGATTGAAATATTAAAAGGGAAACTACAGACAAGAGAAAAATACAGTAGATAATATTGGTAGTCAACGTGTACATCATATGTACACTACGTGCACACCATATGTACACCATGTGCAATGTGCACACCATGTGTACACCATGTGCACACCGTATTATGTTCACCAATCACCATGTGCACACCATATTATGTTCACCACGTGCACACCATGCGTACACCATGTGTACACCACGTGCATACCATGTGTACACCATGTGTACACCACGTGCATACCATGTGTACACCATGTGTACACCACGTGCACACCACGTGCACACCATGTGTTTAATAACCAGTACCTTGATTAGGTACTCCAATCTGTCCACCTCTATAGCCAGCGTGTCCACCATTCTTTGGTTCTGTTCCATCATGAAATTCTCCATGTCAGTCTCCGTTTTCAGCGACTGTGCTTCCTGCCAATGGTTTCAACATAAGTTAGAAATGCAGGATGACAAGTTCCCGTGATACAGTCGCAAACAAATGTTCAATTCAAGAAGCCTAGTTACAACTCTTACACAAAACACGAAAGAGTTTTCCCCCTGAACATATCATTTTATATTATGTTGAACTTATACAGATATTTGATTTGCTTTTCATTTTTCGCTCTACCATAATCGATTACTGAAGACGAAATGAGATCAGTCTTCAAACTCAGTAATCAGTATGGTGAGTATGGTGAGTGTCTCTCAGTCAGTTATCAGCTATATTTGATTTACCCTCAGTAATGAAGTTGTGTCTAGCGTATCCAGGTACTTTTTCGTGATAATCTCTGTGTTGAAGAATATCTCTGCCTTGAAGCGTACGTAACTAGGGCCCTAAAGATGAGGTTTTTAGATAAGAAACAAGATAATCTTCTTTGGAAATATTGTTGTTACCTTTGTCTCTGTCATCTATCAAAAACTCAAAATCGCGAAATTTAAAGATAACCCACCTCGACCATGGACTTGACATCATTAACTGATAACACAGTCTCCTCTCTTTCCAGCATGTTAACTATCGTAGTTTGCTTCATACTGTTCATCGACCTGAAGTTAACGTAATATTTCCATTTTCCGGGGTTTTCCATAAAGGATGAAATTAAAAATTATAACTTTGAAACTGGTGGAATTGTCACGAACTGATAAAAAGCAACTTCTTATTTTCGAACTGAATCAGAACAGTCTGGCCCGAGCGGTATTTTAGTAGAAATCTTTCCATTGCGGCAGCCATGAGATATCCAGGAATTCACGTACCTGCCTATAAGAGCGTCTTTGTTTCTCACAATGATGAAGATAGCCATGCCACCTAACAGGGTCCCTATTCCAATAGAACCGAGCGCATCGTACATGGGGTTACCTGAAAATGTACAGAAACTTTAACCAGGCATGTAAAACCTTACTCGGGAACATTATAGCGGGTTAATTTATGACTGGGAAAATTAATGACCGGGAAAAATATGGCGGAATTTTCCAAAACCCACCACTTTATCCCAGTCATAATATTCCCGAGTAAGGTAGACAATTTCTAAGAAACATATTTATAACAAAATTTTATTCCATGATACAAGTTATTCATATTATGCTTAGATAGTTAGAAAGAAGATTTAAGTTTTAAAGTTCAAATTTCATCGCATATTTTCGCAGCTAAGTTCGGCTCGATTTATCATTGAATAGTTCTAACTCGCCAGTATAGGCACTCAAACCAATACTGGTTCCAGCAATGACAACTCCAAGTGTGGCTGCGATATCCTCCGCTAACACTGCTATTGTGTTAGGCTCGTACCCTTTGAATACTGAAACAAATGTATCATTGTTAAGGTAGGAGACATATTACTGATAAGGACCAGGAGAAGTTAAAAAATGAGCTCAACCAATTAGATTCTTGAGTTTGGAAAAATTACAACTTTTACAACCTTACACTTTTCTTCGTGTGTTAAAATATCATGTTGAAATGTTCATAACGGAACGTACTGTAATGATAGAAAGAAACCCCCTCAAGTTGAGACTGTATCTTAGCTTGTCTGTAAGCGAAACTTAGGGACCATCCTTCTATAACCGCGGTGAATAGCAATACAGCGTAGGCCTAGGGAGTTCGTTTTAGAACGAAAATAAATAGTCAAAGTCTTAACTTTACTCACAACTTTAATGAGGAAGTAAGACACACGTTTTAGTTTAGAGTGGCTCAATCAGACATGAACTGAACTTACTGTTATTGAAAGTTCTATAAATCAAAGTGTAAGTAACGAACCGTGGAGAGAGAATGATCGAGAACAAGTGAGGGGTTGTAGAGCTGTGAGACTCCGTGAGTAATAGTGTACACACATCCTATCTCAAATATTGAGACCCCTGATATCAGCGCGTATACGTATCTGGTGTTATTTTGTATAAACACATTTCAGTTAACTTGTAGCTATTGAATGAGAAGATTTTAAAATTTGTACGGCTTTTACGATTTATCCTGACTAAAAAGCGAAAGTTCTTGTTCCGAGTTTGCAAATGTTGCATGTAATGGTTTATTTTCCTCGATTAAATAATTATGCGCGCGCAGCTAGCTCATGCAATTAAATCGATGTTGATCACGCGATCACGCAAATTAATTCGTGTAATACCGCATAAATCCTACAAACAAAGTTAACGCGCGTTCCATCATGATAATAAAGTAGACCGTTTCGCATAAAACAGTGACCGTGCTATTTCATCGAAAAAGAAACTGACGAATTCTGAAGAAAGCTTAATTAAATGGACAAACTATATTGTACATGCTCCTACCTGGCTTTGTCGAATCCATATGGGTGATCAGAATGTGGCTTCTTCAAGGAATAGATAAGACCAAATGCAAGAAACAACTGAAGAAACAACAAAATGTTACAGAATACAGACTGCTTTACTAATTTCGTTACCATGAACACTCAAGAGTAGCAGAAAATCACGTTGGTAAGGGTTTCATGACTTACTGAGAAGATGACGCTCAACTAACATGAAATTTGAAACACTAAACACGCCACAGCCCACTGGAGAGCGGGAAGTAAGTTTAAAATATTTCTAAACCTGATTCATGGTATCAATAACGCTGTGTATCGATTCTGATAACATACTTGCACTGCCTGTGTAGAAGTATGAACCAAACTTTAAAATAGCCACAGCAAAGTTTGTTCCAATGCTAAAAGACACGACCTGGAAATTAACGATGTTAATATAAAATCTTTAACAACACCCTTTCATGTTTAGTAATTGCATTTTGTTGCGTTTTTGTTGCTCCCTTATCAGCAATTTCTATTTGAGATAAGACGTACTACTCATCACTGTGTGTATACTGGACAGCCTTCAGACATTATACATATACATACTCATACACGGAATTTGTGAAAAATGTCATCCAATCCGATTCCAGATTTTGATGAAAAAGTAAAACTTATAATCGGTAATATGCTGGCCAAAGCCGATAAAGTGTCAAAAACTGTCTTGTCGGCTTTTGATTCATCCGAAGATCGCGAAGCGAACGCGAAAGTATTGGGCGGATCTCGTTTTACTTCTCAAGCCCTCGACATTTGTGCACAGTTTCTTGACATCGACCTTGTAGATAAAGATAACGATAAAATCTTCACCAACAAACCATCGCTTGCTACGAGGATTATTCTAGAAATTCAGTCCTATTTTCCAGCCATGTGTGCCGGCTGTGACGCCGAGTACTCTGTTGAATTTGATTCTGAAAACAAGTCTGCATTGCGATGTTTCTTGTGCTTCCAAGGTTCTCACCACTGCACAGCCTTTACTCCCTCCGGTAGCTCCTCTTCCTCTCCTATCGGTACCGTGTGGCTGTGCCGCTCATGTCACAATACCAACAACCCAGCTAAACGAAAGAAACCTAAGTCCAAGAACGCCAGCAAAGCCAATTCAAAGGCACCATCTGGTGCTAATACTCCAGTCAGTAGTTCAGCAAAAGTGACTTTCTCTGCCGAGATATTATCTGAAAAGCTATCAACTGTCAGCCTGCTTCAGCAGAAAAGCGAAGAGGAATTATCACAATCGACTGAAAAGGGGTCAAGCTCCGTCACAAACACCAGCACTGGTATTGTATGCGAGAAATTCAAAATTGGCAAATGCCCTCATGGCATATCAGGTAAAACTGAACAAAATGGACGAGTTTGTGAAAAAAAACCATCCCAAATGGTGCTACCGTTTCGCGAGAAATGGTAGCAAGGGGAAATACGGCTGCAGAAAGGATGACAAGTGTATTTTCTATCATCCGAAACACTGTCCCTCGTCTGTCTCTGACAAAACTTGCTTCTCCGACAAGTGCACATTGGTCCATCTCATTGGCACAAAGAGGCATAAACGTTCAGATGAAGAATCCTATAGACGAACAGATGAAGACTTCAAACGCAGCCAGTCCAACGACTCAAGACGTAGTGCTTCTAACCGACAGATGAAAACATCTCGTAAGAGTCGCAATGAGCCCCAAACTGAAGCTCCACAGGACATCGGACATTTTTTAGAGTTGCGATCCCTTCTGACATCATTTCAAGAAACCTTTCAGAAGGAGATCAAGAGCCTAAGGTCCGAATTAGCGAGCCAAGAGAGCAAACTTACATCAATTGTTCCGAGCCTCAGTCAACATCATGTGATCAAACAGTTCCTTCCCCAACATCCCCCAGGTCACATGCCACCATCATTTCATCAATACCTTCCCCCTCATCATCAACAACAGCCGCACCCGATCCAGCAGACAACGAACTGGCATCAACTTCCCGTGTCTGGCTGTTAAATGTACAATCTTTCAACCCTAGCGCTTCCAGTACATCTAAGTGGAAGGTCTCATATCTAGCCCAACAACTCGCCGAGGAACACGCAAAACATCACTGTGTCCCATTTGTTGTCCTAACAGAGACCTGGCTGAAGTCCTATATTGAAGATGCACAACTTGAAATTCCTGGATATTCACTGTTCAGAAGTGATAGAAACGCTAGGGTTGGCGGGGGAGTTCTACTCTATTCACATGACCAACTCCCCATTACTCATGTTGAGACATATGATGACCAAATATGCCAAGCTCTTATCTGCAAATGTGAACTGACAAAATCTATTATCTGCGTGCTCTACCGTCCACCTAACTGTTCAGTATTCAGCTTCAGATCTTGTCTTGATTTTCTTGATAACTACATTGCAGGCGAACCTGATGGTTTTGAGCTATCAATTTTTGGTGATTTCAACCTTCCCCGTATAAACTGGTCCACTCATACTGTTTTACCAGGGGGAACTGTCTCGTCCATGGATGCTACTGCGCTCCTTCTTGATTTTATGGCTGAAAACTTGTGTACACAGTACATATTTCAACCGACTAGACTAGAGAATATTCTCGACCTCTGCATCTCGAATTCTGAAGAGCTTGTTACCCACACTTCTACATCAGACACCATCCTCTCAGACCACAGACTTGTTGAGATTTTCTGGTCTTACAATCCTTGCTCCTTCACTACTCCTGATCCGCCTGACTTTAAAGAACTATCCTTCAGAAGTCTTGATTTCTTCAAAGCTGACTATGATTCAATCAGTAATAAAATCAAGTCAGTGGATTGGGACGCTCTCTGGGAAGCTAGCGAGCCAGAGGTTTTTCCGGAGCTCTTTACTCAGACTGTCCATCAAATCTGTGTAATACATTGCCCAAAGAAAATTCCTCCCAAAAACAAGCAAGCATCACTTGTCCGGATTCCTTCTAGGAAGAAGCGCAAGCTTCAAAAAGAACTTCGTGATGCTGAGAACGACGTTCACTGCCCTAGTACTCGTTTGAAATCTCTTCAAAACAAGCTTGCTTTGGCCCACATAGGAATTCGTGATGCTATTAACAAGACCCTTCAGTATCGCGAAGAGCAGGCTGCAGCAAAAGTAAAAGCAAATCCGAAGTACTTTTATAGTTATGCCAAGAAGTTTTCGAAAAAGAAAAGGAATATCAGCATGCTATTCGATGAGAACAGTAACATCCGTTCTCATCCTAAGGAAATGGCAGACCTTTTACAAAACCAGTTTCTATCCGTATTTAGCGACCCCTCCAAAACTGAGTTAGACGCTGCAGCATTCCCTCCTCCGGATTTAACATATCCGTTCACGGATCAGATTCTGGAATTCTCTATCAGTGATGTTATCGAGGCTATTGATGATATTAAGCCAAATGCTTCATCTGGTCCTGATGAGATCCCAGTTGCTCTACTTAAGAATTGCAAAGATGCTATGGCGATTCCTATCCATCTGATCTGGTCAAAATCCCTTGCATCTGGAGAAGTACCTTCATTTTATAAGTACTCCAACGTTTCTCCGCTGCACAAGAAAGATAGCAAGGCGTTTCCTTCCAACTACAGGCCCATTTCACTCACCTCCCATATAATCAAGGTGTTTGAGAGAATCATAAGGAAAAAGCTAGTCTTACATCTAGAAATGAACAACTTGCTCTGTAGCAAACAGCATGGCTTTAGATCAGGCCGCAGCTGCCTTACACAGCTTCTCCACCATTTCGACGACGTTTTTGAGTCATTAACCAACAAAGCTGACTTTGATTCTATATATCTTGATTACGCTAAGGCGTTCGATAAAGTTGATCACAAACTGTTGATCAGGAAACTTCACCTCTATGGCTTAAATCCAAAAATCATCAAATGGATTGAATCTTTTCTGTCAGACCGGAAGCAAGCTGTAGTGGTCGACGGCCACTTGTCATTTCTCGCTCTGATCATCAGTGGTGTCCCCCAGGGAACAGTCCTCGGGCCGATCTTGTTCCTTATTTTCATAAATGATATTGAGCATTGCATAACTGAATCCATCATCAGATGCTTTGCAGACGACACTCGTGTTTCAATATCGGTAACCTGTGAACAAGACGTATCTGTGTTACAAAACGACTTGAACAGTGTCATAAAATGGTCTGAACGAAACAATATGGCACTACATAAAGACAAGTTTGAGTACATGTGTCACAGACACAATCGACGTAGTGCTCTCGTCGAACTTCCTTTTGTTAGTGAACTATACCAGTACTCAGTATCCAAAGACAAGTCACTCGCACCTGTAGGTCAACTAAGAGACCTCGGGGTTCTCGTCTCCAACGATCTATCTTGGCAACCCCACATCAAGACCGCAGCAAACAAGGCTCGACAAAAAGCTGCCTGGGTTTTCAGTGTCTTTCAGACAAGATCTCCAGTCATAATGCTTACGCTTTACAAGTCGATGGTTCGTAGTTTACTGGAATACTGTTGCCCGCTATGGCACCCCTCCAAGATATGTGACATCCAGGAGCTTGAAAGCGTACAGAAAGCTTTCACCGCAAGGATTACTGGAATGCGTGATCTCCATTATTGGGACCGTCTTCAACGGCTATCTCTGATGTCTCTACAGCGTCGCAGGGAGCGGTTCATTTTACTTCATATGTGGAAGATTCTCCATCACCATACCAGCAACGACATTAACGTGCAGTTTGTCTCCAGGCCACGTTTTGGAAACCTTGCAGTCATTCCATTTGCATGCAGACACAGCTCAGCAGCAAATCAGTCACTGTATGATAATTCATTTGCAGTCATAGGCCCAAAATTGTGGAATGCAATGCCTTACCATTTGAATTCCATCGGCGACCGAGAGCATTTCAAATCGCAGCTCACCCAGTTCATGCTATCTCTTCCGGATACACCGCCCATCAGGGGCTACACTCCTCAGAACTCAAACTCGCTGCTTTGCTAGAGGAATGACAGAGAGATCTTCTCTCTGTGGGGTGGTCACACAATGTGATGGCCCTGTTAAAGCTTAACGAATCTCAACATAGGTGACATAGGTGACATAAAATATACACACCTGTTATACATTGTACTTGAAAATGCGAATGGTTTCAATCAATCCTTGTTAAAACAAACAAAAAGTATCAGTAAAAAATTAGAGTTTGAAATTAAGTAAAAAAGCAATAAATAATAAAAATAACCCCAGCACGAACCTTTAAAGATGAGATAATCTGTACACGTTTGTGATCTTCATTTGCATACCAGGAATTCTTTGACTTCTGATTTTTGAGAGCCTTGTCCTCTTTGGTTAGTATTTTAAGTAACCTTCCCAATGCTGGAGGGAAAAGTATATTATAAAATCATTATACAAATCAACCATTATCTACAATCAATAAAATGATAAAATAAACATTGAAACAAACATTGGAAACTGAAACAAGCTTTCATGGCATGAAAATAAATTTAGTCAAACTTTATACAGATATTATTTGATAATTAATATCCATACCAGTCATATTAGCGACTAAAGCAGATATTGTAAAGGATGCAGCAAATTAGATCATGAGACTGTTGATAGTGCATCCCACTAGGGAAGACACATACAATATTATAGGAGTCCCACGGAATTTATCAAATTATAATCATAAATTCTGCTTAAAATCATCACGTGTCAACACCAGGCTACTAAACACGTGACAGGCTACTAGACACATGACAGGCTACTAGACACGTGACAGACTACTATTATACACGTGACAGACTACTATACACGTGACAGACTACTATACACGTGACAGACTACGACTATACACGTGACAGACTACTAGACACGTGACAGACTACTAGACACATGACAGGCTACTAGACACGTGACAGACTACTAGACACGTGACAGACTACTATACACGTGACAGACTACTATACACGTGACAGACTACTATACACGTGACAGACTACTACTATACACGTGACAGACTACTATACACGTGACAGACTACTAGACACGTGACAAACTACTAGACACGTGACAGACTACTAGACACGTGACAGACTACTAGACACGTGACAGACTACTAGACACATGACAGGCTACTAGACACGTGACAGACTACTATACACGTGACAGACTACTAGACACGTGACAGACTACTTATACTATACACGTGACAGACTACTATACACGTGACAGACTACTATACACGTGACAGACTCCTATACACGTGACAGACTCCTATACACGTGACAGACTACTATACACGTGACACACTACTATACACGTGACAGACTACTATACACGTGACAGACTACTATACACGTGACAGAATACTATACACGTGACAGACTACTATACACGTGACAGACTACTATACACGTGACAGACTACTAGACACGTGACAGACTACTAGACACGTGACAGACTACTATACACGTGACAGGCTACTAGACACGTGACAGACTACTATACACGTGACAGACTACTATACACGTGACAGACTACTAGACACGTGACAGACTACTATACACGTGACAGACTACTATACACGTGACAGACGAACAAACCATCAGCGATGTCATCTTCCTCTTCCTCTGTGTGGACATACTTCTTACTCTGCAGCTTCATATTCAACCTGTATTAAGGTATAAAACGTAGTTACACGCAGCTCAGAAAAGAATGTTTGTAAATATAATAATAATAATAATAAATTGAAGTTTAAGAACACCACTATTAAGATAAACTTATACTCAGCAGTGTTTAATCTAAATATAAATAAATTACCTCTCTAATTTACCGAGTGAACTGTCACTAGAACACAAATAACAGCACTCACGTGACTTAAAATAGCCACTATGAGGGAACGAAAAACTGAGGATAAAACTCCCACCTTGTCTTGTATTTCTGAAGGGCTCGCTTGACCACCAATTCACGGGGATACACCCTGCGCGCGTAACGCCCTCCCGGAAACATGTGTTGTTCCTGCTCGTATGCGTCGCGCAGTGTCTTGAACGGAATTCCTTCCAAATCTCTGAAGTATCTAACATTAAGAAAGTCTTAGAAAATTGATGTACAAGCAAAAAAGCGATCGTGTAATTTGTACATCTAATGATGACTCATATTGATCTGTAAATATATATAATATGTTTTGTCGGTTAAACTTATATAAATTCTAACTAGTACTACTCACTCTTCTTTTAGTCCATATTCTGCCTGAATGTCTGTATCTTTCACATAGACACCTTGGAAACATTACTTTAGCACAATACATTATTTTAAGTCAAGTTGTTCCTGTTAACTGAGGATAACATGCTTTGCTCGCAATAAGCGGAATATTATAATGTTTTCTTATCGTATTGTATTGGTTGCAAATAACAATAATAGATGGTCAACGGAGTTGATCCCTCCAATACTAACCTTTAGTGGGTTTGTGTTGTGTTATGACAGGGCGCCTCTTCATATTCCTAACATGACTAACATTTCCAGTTTTGTTGTTTTGAGGATATCCCGTGGTGAATGTTCTGTACTCCCGGATACAAGATCTTTCTAGAACAGTCACCACATTCTTTACACAGCCTGACATTTTTCTTAGTTAATCAGTTAAACTAATCTACAAAGTGATATCTATTTGACATGCTATCACACTGTAATAGTAAATTTTGTAAGTCATTGATATATTACATTAATCAGTCGTTCTAGTAAAGCCCCCTAGTACTCTAGTAAGCATCAAAAGCTTATTTTAATCGATAGGGTACCGCCGTAGTACCGTATAAGTTAAATTATTCGATAGTCTCACTAAATAAACAGTTTGTTTAGAAAACAAAGCAGATCCCTCGATCAACATACCGTTTCTATGTGACAGAACATTCCAGGCCTGCCCAAAACATGTTCTTCTCATGAAAAACAACCTGTCTTCAGACAATCAGCATTCCAACAATGTAATAATATTTCAAACCCCCCTATTCAGGAACCAGTAAATGTGCCGTACTCTCCAAGCAAGTTATCAATCGTTATTGTGCCTGGTTGCAGACTTGGTTGCTATATTAGTTATTCCATGGTCTTCAGCTTAAATTATACTGTAATCATCACAGATGAATCTCCATATTATTATAATGAGAAAACCATTGGTTTAGTTATTTTACTTTGTAACGTTTTCAATCATGACGATCTAACTTTCGAGTTGTTGGTGTCGAATAAGAAAACATAAGGAAACATAAGAAAACATAAGAAAAAATAAGAAAAAATAAGAAACATAAGTAAACAATGAATATTGATAATATTCGAATTCAGCTATAAAGCTATTAAATCAAAAAATGTAAATCACAATTTAGCATCAAAACTTCACATATTAAAATTTTTAAAATACAAACTTAAAACTTAAAGAACAAACAAAAAAATCAAAAGTTTCAGATAACACTTCGATAAGACTAAGCTTACGAAGTTATAATAATGTGCATAATTACAAATATTTTACATTCAACAGTGTTGTAAAAATCATGTTCTTAAAAACATAACGTTAAACGAGCTAAACTTTAATATAAGTTACAAACCTAATATAAATAAGAACAATCTAATTGTTTTTTTTTAATTTATACATTTTTAAATTTAAAAGAAAATATGCAACCTGCCAATGCCCAATAATGCCCTCTCCGGGATCTTTCTTCTCGCATTTGCGAGAGACCTCCCCCATGGTGTAAAAGGAGGTCAGTATTTGTTCAAACCAAGCTCCAACATTACTATTGGTTGACCATCGGCCTTCACTAAAGGTAAGTTTTTAGACAGTTAGTTACAGATTTTACCTCAGAAGGTGTGGACACGGACAATCGCTACAATCGTGCCTACTAAGAAGAAGATAGTGATAATAATAGGTGGCATCACATAACCCAAAGTATTCACAATATCCCTATGATACCAGTTGGATCTTTGGCTCCTGATAACAAGCTCACCCTGCTCAGACCTGACTGTACCTTCCGGGTCGGCACTGCAGTATATTCCGGCCCAGTCCAGTGCACATATGTTTTCGAAGTGAATGAAGGATTCTGTGACTTGTTCAAGACCATTATATGGGTTGTGATGCTCAATGTTGTAATTAAAGCAATGCCAGCTGCCCATTTTACTGATCTGTTCAATGGGCCGAACGGTGTCATTCACACAAGAGTTCTGGTTACTCTTATTACTATCACACTGTTCTTCCCATCTTCTGCATTGGTCAGAATCAAATCCGATAAACCAATGAACAGGTCCCCCCGTCACAACGCACTGCATCAACAATTTAGATCCGATCGACTGGGTGTAATCCGTGTAAAAGTGCTGAAAATACTCTATCTTTTTAGGGAGGGTTCCTTCAAGCGCACTGTCAACCAATGTGATTCTCCGAACATCGTATATCCTAGTCTCTGCCTGATCATCAGTCAATTTGCACTGATACTCACCAAGGTCGGCCTTGGTCACGTTTGTTATAGTGAGGGCCGATGCTAAGCACTTCATATTTGTGTAGCCATCATCTCCTGCAATATTCATGCCGTTCACGATATCAGTGGTCCCTTGAAATGTCTCACAGTAATCAAATGTAAGACTGCTTTTAAAACTGTATTTAGCACCCGGGGTGAGCTCTTTATCATTTCTCATCCAGACATGTTTGCAGCCATTATAACCCTTGTAGCGGTAGTCGAAGCAGTCCCCATATTCGCTGTCCGTTTTTATTAATTTGGTGCACCTGAGGATATTGTGCGATAAGAGTTGTGTGATTTTGATGTGGTCAATTTTACAATAATATATAAATACTAGTGTAAACCGGCCGGGATTTAACTGCCGCAGTTAAAAGGGTAGGAGTATTCACCCGCTGAGTCAAAACCCGCATTAGGTGATCAATTCTATTCGGAGTGCCCTCACGTACATCCAATAGTATTTAATCTCGAAATCAAGTTTTACAAAAAATACCCATTGGCCCCCACCCCCCCCCCCCCCTTTCGGGACCGTGACCCAGGCCCTTTTGGAACTCATACCTAGGCCACGTGACCCAGTTACCACGTGACCCAGGCCCTTTCGGGACCCTGACCCAGGCCCTTTCGGGACCGTGATCCAGGCCCTTTCGGGACCGTTACCCAGGCCCTTTCGGGACCGTGACCCAGGCCCTTTCGGGACCGTGACCCAGGCCCCCGGGACCGTGACCCAGGCCGTTATGGAACCCTCGTCGTTACCGTACTTCGATTATAGTGTATAAGTTATCATTCGTACCTTCACCACATCATTTGATTACTCTATATCACATCACAACGTCGTGGACCGTTTCCTAAAGAAACGAACAGCTACAGACAGTGACCCATCATCAAGCTCACCACACAAGAAACATATTTGCGATCACGCATGGGATCTGATCGACTCTATCAAGAGTCGATGAATGTCATACTCTCTATAATTTGCCCCTCGCACCTGCAGTAGAACGCGCCGTTTTTTCTTTTATGAAACAACCCGAAACAAGCGCGTCACGCAGTACGTGAGTGGCTAGATTATAGATTGTTTTATTAAAATATTATTTAATTATGTTATTTTGTTGTTATGTTTGTGGAGTAGTAGCAAGAAGGTATCGTATACATTTAAATTTGTTCTCTTGATTATTTATTAATGATTTTATGTAGGGTCGGCACCAATGTAATTATGGTCTTACCACCGTGTTTTGGTTCAGCCGAAATAAATTTTACCTTGATGTTTTTACATTTTGTTTCTCACTCCAGCTGAGTCTGGTAGTGTTGAGTATCATGAATATTTTTCTAGCTCTCTTTTTCCATGTTTTTGCTTCACAGGAGATATTGTGGTCTTTTTATTGAATATAACTGTAATACATTGATGTAAAGTTTATTTGAATTTTGAAATTAAAAAAAAAGAAAAAAAAAAGAGGCGTCTTCAAATAACTGTCTCCTGATCTATACCAGATCAAGTCACTGTTCTCAGATAACTGAATCTCAATATAGGTTCAATCATGGTCTTAGTAAAGAACTACACCCTCAGTAACACATAAACAGACCTATTTTTGATAAGAGCGGCGGTTATACGTTTAGAATTTCCAAAGTCCTTGAGAAAATGCAAAAGAAAACCGCACAATTCCCGCACAAATTTCGAAAAAATCGCCGCACATTTGCCGCATAATTGGTAAAAATTTACCGCACCTTACCGCACATTTTACCTTTATAGTCGGGTGCGGTACCGCATAATTTCGATTTTTTTACCGCACCTAATATGTGCCTCCCCCCCCACTCCCTTAATCAAGAAAACGGTAAGAGTTATGGGACTGATTTTTTCGGTATAGTTAAGACAAAACTCTGACAAAGTATATAATAGTGTTTTTTCGTTGAGGGTGGAAAATTAAGTGCGGCGCTGAAATGGCTAAGCAAATCACATGTTGCCACAGCAAAAAAACAAGCCAGAGGAGAAAAAAACTGTGCGTACGACAGGAGGACACTAGATATCATAACATACAAAAAAAACAAGATTGGTAATCCTAGTACTTGACTCTTTTGTGCATAATTAGCTGAAAGTAGCAATAATTACCTGAGCTGAGCAGAACTTCCAAAGACAGCAGGCACTTTATCTAGAGCGGTGTGAGGTAGTTGTAAGAAGGAGTGAACCAAAAGTAACGACACTAGACTTATCACATCTCTGTGAAGCATGCTGAATATTTTAACATTGTGTTATCATTTTTCCAGAATGTTTATAATTATATGTAGTACACAATATTATGATATTATATAATAAGTTAGAAAGCCCGTGGTCACAGGGAGGAAGGTTATAGTATTCTTTGGTAGTCAGTTTTTATCGCATCAAAAAATATCCGTCACAACCGAAGATTCAGCCGATGAAAAGGGGATTAAAATGTAGCTTGCACTAAACACAACCTAATTACCACAAAATCGATAAAAATTATGTTCCATTGCACGTGCACGTGCGCGTAACAACCCTCGTTACCATGGTATGGTTACTATGCAACTTCCTATTTCTCATCTAATTTGCTCGTGGGCGGTCGTACATACATACAGACATAATTCTTTGAATTATAAGTAAGATATATTATCAATGGTTGACCTAGCTTAAAACAGAAACCACAGAATTTGAAACTGTAATAAAGACACAATCAAGATCTTGTCGGTAGGTTGTGCGTTGCGAAAATATGGGAGATGTTTTATAGGAAATTGCAAAACTTGGAAAATCAAAATAATAATTATTAATTTTTATTAATTATTAATGAAATATCTCATAACAGCTAATATAATTGTACATCCAATAATTTCAACTCATAAATAGCACAACTATAATCTGAATTAACAACAATATTTGTTATGATTAAAGTTAGATGTTAATAACAAATATTCGAACTAGGAAAATATTTAAAAGCAAAACAAAAATTCAACAATTTATGCTTTAATTCTGTAAGCAAGGCCTAGATCTTTTCACCGGACTCAGGGGCAACCTCCCCTTTAATATTTACACTATCAATCCGGTTTGAAAATCAACACTCTATAAAATAATTTGACTGTCTATTATTTCAGTAATGATTTGTATCCTGTAAGCCCTTTATCGTCTTCAACTCCTCTTCTGTGTGTAACTTTTCAGTCAATAAGTGAGGGAATAACTGTAATTTCATGACCTGAGAGAGGAGCAGATTATCGGATTACAAAGTTGGTTTATTTTTTGGGATATGTTTTTCACCCTGATTTTTTGTGAAATTTGATTTGAAGATAGCAATTGACTAACAAACTAGGGCCTGAGACCGAATTTTTGAGGGGATTTCGGACTCCAGGTGCCCACCAGTGCCCGCGGGACAGCCACACCCATTTTTGGTCCCAATTATGCCCAATTTTTTTAAGTAGAACACCTAAAAAAATCTGGGTTTTGAGCAGTTAAAGTGATTTGGAATAGTTGGGCATAATTGGGACCAAAAATGGGCGTGGCTGTCTCGCGGGCACCCAGAGTCCGGAACCCCCTCAAAAGTTCGGTCACATGCCCTAATTTGTCGGTCAATTGCTATCTCCAAATCAAATTTCACAAAAAAATCAGGGTGAAATCAGGTAGAAGCATTTTATGAATACATTTTATGAATGCTGGAATTTAGAGCTTTTCCCTGAGATGATGGTTCAGGAAACTTTAGTTCTGTGTCCTAAGGTGATAGTCGGATTGTCTCAGTAACTGAATCTTTGATAACTTGATGGAGAGCTATTCAAGTAGCTAAAGTTGTTGTGTTCATTGTTAATGTCACTTGGCTGTGTCATTGACAACATTTAGCAGACAAGATGGTAATCTGTTTTTGGACTTCACCATTTTTACTTTCACTTTCACTTTAATTTTCACTCGCTCAAATTTTCACTATTTTGGTCCTCAGAAAGGACTCAGCAATATATGAAGTAAATATAAAGCAATGTTTCATGATGGAGAATTAGCTTTAGATGAACTAATGTTACAGTATCTCGGCTTGTCAGATAAGTACTGACTATATAATGTATATTTAAATAATGAGGCTTATACAGTAAAATCCTAATTTACCACGAAGTTGGGGGAAAAGAAAAATCAGTGGTAAATCGGGGCTTTACTTGTAAGATGTATTTGAAATTTTATACTTATTCGAGCTTTCGATTCTACTTACCGGCGTGTGGCTCTCAACACTGTACTTAAAACAGCGCCAAGCATCAACTTCAGGGACTTCATCAATGGGTCGTATGTTGCTGTGCGAGCAATCAGATGTATTTATCCTGGGGTCACATTCTCTGGCGTCCGGTTGAGCAAGAGAGATAAACCAATGAACTGTACCACCAGTAACTAAACATTGCATCAGTAAATTGGAGGTTATCCCCTTGGGGTAGGAGTCTTGAAAATATAGGATGTTTTTGGGGGTATCATCACCAGAATCAATCTTGAAAACTGTGAAGTACCTCATGTCACCACCATGTGGACCAGTGGTATTATTAAAGAAGCATTGGTATGCGGCAAGATCATTTTCTGTAATGTTGTGGATAACCAGCACGGATGTCAAACACCTCCAATTCCACTCATTGTTACTTGTAAATTTGTCAATTGACCTCCAAAAAGGTGAAACTTGCTCACTACGTCTGATGTACTGTTAAAGTTTTCGCAGAAGTCAGAATTCAGAGTGCTCCTTAAGCTGTATTTTTCATTGCTTTGTAACTCTTTACCAACTCTTGACCATATAATATGGTGTGTGTTTGTGTCTTCTATGACCTTGGAACACCTGCAGTTTTTCAATTAGTTGAGGAGTGATACTTTCGAAACATAAAAATAATTTAATTCAAGGGTTCAGCCTCCTGGAGTCAAATTCTTGCTGTTTTTATGCTGGGGTATGATTTTTCCTACAGATATGTTACTGTCTGTTACAAGCAAGATGGCATGGCTGAACAGAACAATAAGAAACATTTCTACTCCGTTCATTGAATTATGTTTAATGAACAACAAACATGCTATAATTAAAGTTGTGTACTAGTTCGTTCAATGCATTTACTGCTGGTGCAAGTACAAATGCCTCCACTACTGGAAATACAGTAAAATAGTAGGTATTAACTTACTTAACTAGCTGTGGAACAGCTAAATTAGTGGATATTATTACGGTACTACTACGTAATGTACAACATGTACTGCATGTAGAACATGCAGCATGTACTGCATGTTCTACATGTACAGCATGTACTGCATGTTATACATGTGTAACATGTACTGCATGTTCTACATGTACAACATGTACATTGTACTGCATGTTCTACATGTACAACATGTACAACATGTACAACATTATTACTAACTACACAGTAAATTGCACTGTACAGCTGTAGCAGGACGGAAATTAAAATCTGAAGCACGTTCGGTTAAATCACGGCCATTATTTAATTAAATCACAGGCCATTTAATTGCAACACTTCATATTTAGGGAAAACTATAAGGTTCATTAAATATTTGGACAGTCGTATAATTTTATTCAAAAGCTAGGACCAAGCCATGATAATAATAATGTATATGAATTGCAAAACAACTGAAAGTACTTGAAATGAATACAGTTCAAAAGGAGCCCTAACATCCTGATATATTTCATAATCCGGAAAAAAAGTTTGGGAGGAGTGTTGTACGGCATTCATTGTCTGAACTGAACGATCAGCTGATAGTGAGTTACATGAGTTACATGAGTCGCATTTTCATTAATCAACTGATGAAACATGCGACGCGTGTAATTCACTATCCGATCGTTCAGACAATGAAAGAAATACCTTAACGTTCCCAAAATTCCCAAAAGTAAAGAAGTTGATGATGAGCAGATGAGTATAATAATTATACTCATCATCATCTTCTTGACTTAGTGAATAAGGCATCCACTTCACAGATAATATCTTTTCGGATAACACAAACGTTAAATGTAGTTCTGTTAAGCCACAAATTATCACGTGCATGGAATGCTATTTACTTACTTTAAATGTAATTCTGTCGAGATATGATTTATATCAGCTTTATTACAACAAATTTGGATGTGCAGTTACACTGTGGTCTGTGCAGTTAAAATTGCTCTTGTGCAGGCAACAAGGTTACCAGATTAAGGTTTTCTAACCCATGCGTTAATCACCTGATTTCCACCGAACCCCCGACTACAGCTGGTACTCTGGTTAAGCCAGTGGGTGGTATAAACTCTGAGCGCACAGTCAGTATTAACAGTAAGCTCCTTATCAATATTTTGTAAATCATCCTATTTAGATAAGGCCGTTATTGTCGTAAGACAACTTCTAATTTGAGAACAGTAAAATTCTGTTCAGCCACAAGTGGTCAAGTGCATACAACGCTACTTGTAATGGAAGAAATAATAGATGTGGATTCTCGTGGGGAGGTGAGGTACATTTGTTTACTTCAATAGTAAGTACCCGCTCAGCAGAGGAAAGAGGTGATGCACATTTTGTATTATGGAACGCTTGTATTGTGTATTGGCTGAAATCTTGGTTGAATCGTATAAAACTACTTGGTTCCTGGGTAAAGTTAAACTTGAGTGCTGTAAACGACTTAACGAACTCTGGGAAAAGCAGCCAACACGAGAAGGTCCTATGAGCAGAGTTAAATTTAATAAGTTAATAAGACGAGACACACGAACAATGAACATGTCTAACGGAGCTTAGCTACTTGGTATAACTGTTGAGCTAACCAGGAAATATTGAACAATTGAACGAGAGAAAAATAATGACGAAGAAATAAATAAAAGTAGATTTATAGGTGCAATCCTGAATATTACTGACACATTTCTATGGGTTACTTTTGGGACTTTCGGGCAGGACGACAATTATCATCTGTGTAGCTTCTACATGTGAGATTTTAGCCGAGGTGATGAAAGGAAATACTGGTAGCAGCATTGTAATATCCCGATAATATAAGGAATATTTTAATAATGCTACTAGGAATATTATAATAATTCTATACGTAATAAGCCAAGTGAGACTCAAGTTCGCGTGATATTATAGTATTATATCTAATTCTATCTAATTCTAAATGCTGAGCGAGTACTTACCCTTAAAAGTAAACAAATGTGCATCACCTCTCTCCTCTGCTGAGCGGGTACTCACTACTAAAGTAAACAAATGTACCTCACCTCCCCACGTGAATCCACATCTATAGCAATAATATAAATTCTAACATTCCAACAGTACAACACACTTGTAAATCACCTGATTTCGACTGAACCCCCGATAACAGCTGCTACTCGAGTGGGTGGTATGAGTTCTGGTGTTTTGGTGGGAAGTATGAACGATTTTAAGCTTACTGTCAGTGTGAAGAGTGTGCTTATCAATATGCTGTGAATCATCCTACTTAGAGGATAAAGTTTGATACACCGTCATGGGATGAGTTTGAGTAGTCAAGAAAGATAAATTTACAACAGAAAAGTTCGGATGGAATACTCGGAATCAACGGTAAATCTTGTAGACGTAGGCAAGAAAACGCTTGTGTAATCAATGGAAAACAAACATTGCATTGTTCACTCAAATCAAAATAATTCAATCCTATCACTCTATCAACAAATATTTTGTAAACAAATGAATAATCATTAATCATTAAACTAAAGCACTCAATATAAACGACCAAAATGGCAATTTTGCAAAATGTTCATTTGCTCAACCATAGTCCCTCTAAATTTTGAGCCCATTTTCAATTTGGCCAAACAATATTCTCCATATAACTCTTTCAACTGCCAGTTCTCTTAGATTTTAAATAAAATCATTGCTGATAAAGTACATTAGGCCCCAAAGAGGCAAGTCATCTTTGATTATGATTGACAGGATTTTAACGCTGTTTGCTTTTCCTACCAGGTCAAATTTTAACAAATTTTATAAATTTTTATCAACAACAATACACACTGCACTACAACAAACAAAATTCAAATGATTTATTGAACAAAATTGATTGTGATTGAATAATGAAGTTTAATGGTTTTTTTAATTGAATGAACTGAAGCTAAGGAGTTATAATAAAGAGCAACAACTTTTGGGTTCACAAACCACTGCAAAATAGCTTTGAAAACGTGCTCTGTAAATTCAAAGATCAAACTTCAATAGCCGCGTTATTATAAGATATTACAGTAAAACCCGATTTAATGAACACTTTGGGGGAGAGGAAAATAATGTGTACTGTAAATCAGAGTGTTTTAAATATTGACTCTAAGTAAGATCATCATAGTATGAGTGTTGCTATCAGAGTGCTGCTATCAAAGTGTTGCTATCAAATTAGGGGTTATACCCGTTTAAATAGTTCAAAAGAAAGGAGTGGATACTTGATAACAAGCCTGCTTATAACAGGGTCTTGCTAATAAGGCGTTTTGTAAAGCGAGATATCAAACTAAAATATAGACAGTTTCTAGGTGGAAAGAGGTCAGGTGAATCGGGGTTTACTGTGTGACCCATGAACATAATATAATATTGTAATATGGGGTCGTTCACATATTACGTAATCAGCTGAGGGGGGGGGGGAGTTTCCGAGTGATTACGCTATTGTAATTTTGACACAATAGCTATGTGTAAAACTGATTACGGAGGGGGGGGGGGGGGGGGGTGGGGGTAAAAATGTTCCAAAAAATGATTACGTAATACGTGAACGACCCCATATTCAATATTGTAAGTGTTTTGTAGCTCAGCCAGATAAATAATAGCATTTGAAAACAGCCCATATTTACTTATCACCAGACACTGGACACACCTGTAAAATTAGCTCAGGTTTCATGGCAGGTGGAACTTAGATACCCTTTATTGTGGCGTACAAGCGTTTGGCGGAATTAAACTTTTAAAAGCTGTGAACTTGATTTAATTTGATTTGCTGTAAAATCCCGTAGTATGATATGTGATTTCTAGGATGTAGGGAGATTTGGGGACTTTGTAAGTATGCTGTTTTCTTAACAATAACGGCACCAGACAGTAGGTGAGTGATACAAGGTCATGCCGTGACATGCAAGAATCAGAAACACATTATTGTAATGCTATAACTTATTAATTTATAATCAATCACAATTACACTAGTCACTAGGTTACCTAGTACAGTTCATACAACAAACATAAAATACAATGTAAGGATCTATAAAATGCCAAAATGACAACCATATTATTAAATCGTACTTATAATTATCAACATAAATACAACATCGATATTATTATTATTATCCTGATTCCTGAAAATGATGCCATGAAAAAATCATGAACTGGATGATACCAACTGTATCATTATATTCAAATAATTAGTGTTCTCATCGCTGCAAAGTGCAAATATATCAGATATCCCAACTTGACAGTTTCTACGTTCAGCTAAACGTTTAAATTTTTCGGTCATACACAGTGATTGTGAAACAAAGTAATCAAAAAATATAATTTGCAATAAAAGCCATAAATTGATAAAATAATGTAAAATCCATAAACATCCGGGTGCAATAACAAGGTTAAATAATGCACGTGAGATTTTCACTTTTAGCGTGGGTTAATGAATATGTAAAATCACGTGTTCACTGTTCATGTATCTTTGATATGAATGATGAAATTGGTAAACGAAAAAGGGCTGACAAAATTCCCACTCTTCTATTAATAGGTACATGAGTTTTTTCTATAGGCAATATTGTGATCATATATTCTACATAATTCTACACAATTCTACATAATTTCATCTTAATCTTCTTTTGCCGCAGGCTTTTTCATCTTCCACACGTACTTTCGAAGGAAGAACTTGCCTACTCCGTGCATGAAGACAATGCTGATAAGGTAAAGTAGCACAGCTCCTGTTTTTACTACGATGTCGACCTGAGGAGAGAAACGGTTAACTTGTTACCTGATGTTAATATTTAAAGCTAAATATCACATTTATTAGTATTTGTATCGGGTGTGCAGATATCACTGACGATCAGGAAGAGTTGGACTGATTTAACCTTTGGGGATGTAGTTGCTCTGTAGAGAAGGTAAGTTCCGGGAATGAATCTCCAGAAAGCAAAAGAAAACACGAAAATGTAATCGTTGATGTTACCGACCTGAATACAAATGTGGTTTTGTTAATTACTAAGGTATTGAGTCTCATCATGCGAGGCTGGAAATAAACAAGTATTTTGTTGATATGAGACAGGAGATCGGACTAATTACATAAGTTAATATAATAATTAAATTGTTTCTATTAATTAAGGGTTTATAATTTATAGTGTAAGTATTGATAATAACAAAGAGAAATTACCACAGTGTCATATTGTTTGTGCTCCCGCAGGAACCATCTCATTTGTAACAGTGGGTTGGTTACCTCAGCTCCAAAACAGACTGCCGTCACCTCCGCCCCTAAAAACATTTCCATGTAAATCAATTAACAGTTATTTACATCCAAACACAAAATAGGGCAACTTTTTAACTTTTCAAAAAAAACTTTATAAATCATCATTTCCCTTCCAGCGAAGGTTCCCTTTTCCGTATTTTCATTTATCATTCTCGGCAAGCAAAAAAAAACAGAATTTCGGAAAAGCTCAAAAACATGATCATGTCAAAATGTTTCATGACTTAATCGTACTCACCGAATCTGTGGTTATAAAGACAGTAGCTGAGAATAAACAAGCTGACCACATGGTGGGCCAACATGGGGAGACCCTCAGCTCCCATGATACAACACCAGGTGAAGTCGAATATGAAGTAGGCCAGGGATATGATTACAATCGCATTCTGCAGTGTACTGAAACAAAATTAGCTGATAACTTTAAAATAATATATCTGAAGAGATTAGATAATTACGGGTATATGACCCCCAGAATATAGGTGGCCCCCAAAATATAGGTCATGTTAGTGGATACAGTTCTAACCAAGATAAGCGATACTAATGGGATCTGTTACTGCTAGGTTGGAGTAAAGCATGTAACTAATGTTTATGGATAAGAATTTTGGACCTACATGAGGTGTTTTGGTATATTTGGTCATGACAGCGAAAGATTTAAACGATGTTGTCATTTTCTAGAGGGGTTAATATGGCGAAAAATGGTCATGACAAAAATCTGTCCAACACATGCCATTAAGACTACTGGTATGAGTATGAGTATTATTTTAAAGCTATCTTTTCATCGAGACATCTGCAAACTGACAATTTGGAAAAAAGTTATGGCCACCACAATTTTACGGGCCCCCAGAATATAGGTCTATACGACCCCCACAATATAGGTTGGTCAAAAACCCTGAACATGCCCAAAACCATGCTTTGGGATGCTCTACTTGTAGATACTAGTCTCCTGAACACACATATTAAGTTTTATCAAAATTGGATAAAAATTAGCCGAGTTATGGGATAAAAACCATATGCCCATATTTGGGCATACGCACCAAATTTGATCGATTTTGGTCCATAAATTGGTCAAATATCAATATTTTTGAATAAAACTAACTTTATATGGAAGGTTAGCCTATACTACACATTCTCTATATGATTATCAGCTCAATATCTACCTAACTGTGGATTCTGTGTTCAAATAATCGCAAAAAATGAAAAAATCGCCCATATCTCAGTTCGCGATATTTGCAATACTGACTTCGCTCAAAACAATAGAACTCAATATGGTTTCAATATTTTCACATGAAATTTTCAGAATCAACGTAGAATTGTCTCATGACCTTAAGTATTGGGACAGAATTTTGAGTTAGGCCTTTTAAAAAATTTGGCGGCCAAAAATGTCTGATTTACAGTCATTGAGGTGCACATTGTATTGATACAGATAAAAACAGCCCCCCTCAATCATATCTAGGGACACTCCTTCAATCTTATTTGAGTATTTAGTTAAGATCCCTACTAAATGAGTGCATGAAAGCTTTTTAACTAGTAAAATTAAAGATTTTACTCATTACGGGTATAATATAAGTATATGGCCCCCAGAATATAGGTTTTTTTTTTAAATAGCGACCAAGATTCTGCATTTTCTCTGTCACCCTGAGCATTGCAAGGAATGTGGGGTAGTGATGAGAAACAGTTAAAGAACATTATATGCAGAAGATATGGCATCATCAAAATGTTATGAAGATGGAGTATTTGAGGACGATTTTTGCATACCTATATTCTGGGGGGCCTTAGTTTTTGGTTTTTTGCTATTAAGTATACTCTAAACCATTTCAATTTAGTATCTGGAGCCATTGGCATCATTAATACAGTCTCAGCAACATATTCTGACTGCATATAACTGTCTGTGACAATTTTAGAAAAACTTAGGAACAGATGTTTGGACCTATATCCTGGGGGCCCTGTAAAAAAATGGTATTTTTACAGGTGAAAAAAAAGTACACTTAAAAACCTAATAATTATTTTCAACTTAACTACCCATTTAAAGGGTTATTATGTACATATTTACACCCCTAAACATGCTTAGAAGTAGTTTTAACACCTGTTTCTAGAAGTGCTCAAAAAGCGACCTATATTCTGGGGGTCATATACCCGTAATAAATGTTTTATAATTATTATATGACGACAAATGTAAGAATTTTAACAAAACAACTGTAGGAATTTCTGTCGAAGAAAGGGGACTCTAATCGTGATAAGGCGTGACAATGAACATTTATAGCTTACGTGTTATCAGTGCCGAACACATCCCAAGGTGCCGGCCCAATGTACAGATTAATAATACCCGTTACACAGGCCACTATAAAGCCGTGCATACATGTGACTAGTCGGCAGCAGTATTCTGCACTGCGATTGTGGAGCACCTGGGGGTTAATTACTTATTAATTACTTAATTAGTTATGGGGAACTTATTTAAAATTACTCATATCATGCACTGCAGTTCAACTTCAATTCTTCAATTTCGAGATATTACAAGTGAGTAGTCTTTTCTGTCCGGGTATTAAAACAAAACAGAGGTCGGTGAATAGGTTATAAAATATAACAAGCATTATTATATAAAATAAACAAATAAAAGATAGATTTTATTGGACTAACCACCCGTAATAGACAATAGGTCAGAGCCCATAGTATAACGCACACAAACACCTGTAGAAATGGAAAAGCTCCTGAAATATTAATATCTATTAATATTAAAACTAATGATTATTTAATTCAGCCACCAAAGTGTCGTTCAAATTGTTTCGTTAGGTATGAATCAGGTTTTCAAGAGGATTCTTCCCATCAATATAACCTATCAATTGATATCATGGACATGATAGGCTATCATGTCCATGATATCAATTCAACTGCTCGTTAATTACACAATACAATTGAAAACATGTCACGTCAGAAACTAATTAATTACACATCTAACAAGAAATACAAATCTAACCTGCTTCCCAGATGAGGTAAGGAAGAAGATTTTCAACTGTTAATCCGATCATATCTGTTTACTGTTCACCAATTAATAGGTATTTATCATTCCTGGATACTAGCCTGGGCAGCCATGAGCAGCCTTTAAACATAAGAAGGTTATAAACTTATAATGGGATCTAAACTTTGAGTTTGGGTAATAATTACAGGACTAAAAGCTGTTTATTTTATGTGACACAAACACAAAACTTACAATGGTCATATTGAGCTGAAAATTTGTATACAAAGTTTAATTTTTTTACAAAACACTGTACTTCAGAAGTAAATAACATGTATTACATGTATAGTCATTAATTACTGTGATGTTAGAAATCGTTTCACTGTGTTCATGCTTTTTCTTTAAAACTTCAATAAATTAAAATTTAAACTTCTTTAACAAAATCTTCATTGTAAACCATGAACACCATTAAGTTTCCTTGCCAAAGCAAGCCCTGTAAATCCTCCAATTAATAAAAACAAGCACCCATAAACACTGCGACTGAGAAATGTAATTGAGTGAAGTGATAGGCTTATTGGTCCCATATTAGGCTGAAAATGGTAAGCATGAGTAAAAGTAATACCAAGCATGCCAGCTCCAGTAAACCCAGACGTTACACCAGCTCCTCTTGTAAGTGAACACGTGGAACATTCAAGTTCTTTCTTCTGAAGAGGTTGCTCAACAAGACGGCTAAAACAATAAGCTGAGCCCACTCCGACTCCCGTTAATGTGAGTCCGATTAGAGCACCCGCTGTATTTCGTGGGAGCTTTCGCACAATTTTGAGGCCATCCATCTTTTGCTGGTACACGTAGAAAACTCCAGCCATGTAACTCAACGATCCTGGACGTATCATAATTAATTTAAGGATTACCGAAACAGGCAAACGGTTTCAATTATATCATTCTCTTGGTGCTGATTTGAGAATTATGATAATCAGTGCTTTGTTATCACCTCTTATCACCTGTCAATCGTCATATCAATATTGGAGGAACTCAAAATAGCTGAGGTTCACAGTCGGGGGGGGGGCAGAGTTCATCTAGACACAGTAAAACTCTAATTTGACTGTCATGGTCAATTTCAGATGCAACAGCCTCAGCTCAAGTTATCGCTTTAGATGAACGATTTAGTTAAAAATAGAGCATTTACCAGTTATAAACCCCGTCTGGAGACTCATTTGATTTCCTTCCAACTCCTCAGTCAAATTTTTTGGAAGCCTGCTAGTGACTGCTTCAAACATTTTTATGCTGTTAAATAATAGTTATTGGTTTTTTAAGGAAACATATTTTGATCATTAAATATATCAAACTTTTTTTTGTATTGAAAATATAAAGACAATGTTCATAAAGGATCATTTTGAAAGAAAAAAACAATTAATTTAGTTAATTTTATGGGGAGTTTTGACTGGAACGATTGACAGACAATTTTTACCTTTCAAAACAGGGTGTAGCACTAGTAGCTAGAGGCAGTAGGCACAGTGAAAGCATCGTAAGAACGACTTATGAATATGCCCAGGTTTGCTGAAGCCAGGGCAGGAATATGTCTACCTTTCGTAGCACCCATAGAAATGGCATAATGTAAAACATGTAATTAAACATTTAAATATTTACCTTTTTGATATTCTCGACCTGCTGACGATATGGTGTAAGCTTGGTGATATTTTATTCTATACAATAACATGGTCTCACCTTGCAGACCTCATATGCTATTAGAAAGATAATACCATTTTCAAATTAAGTTATGAAATTTAAAATGTAGAAAACGTGAATTTTATTAAGTAAAACTGTAAATGATACAGAAAAAGTTAAATAATGAAATGAGAAACCAATACAAAACATCTTAAACTATAAATAGCAGAAGCTCTCTTCAGGGTAAAATAAGATAAGTTAACCTTATATGATTTCAGTAAAACATTAAGTTGCTGTGGGCCATTAAAAATCGTGTAAATACAAATATAGCAGTAAAAGTGATAGGGATGTAAAAATGTCATAACAAACAAACAAAACTAGCACTTAGCAGCCAACATATAAACATATCACATCTAACCAGTTGAACCAAATTCTCTCTTGTCTTCTTGTAGAGGTTAGACCATCCAACCTACTTTAGTGAGACCAGAAACATGATTCTTATAAGTTCAATCATCTTCAATCAGCTGATGAAGCTCAGCTTCTAAACTATCACCCATTTCTAAAGCACGAGGGACAGAAAGTTCTGGCTGAATATTTTGCAGGATATCTGCAATCAAACTTTCAAAACTGTTTACGTATGTGTCCACTTGAGGGGGAACACTAGAGCTAGGGCCAGATGAGGCATCCACATCAGTAGCACATACAGTGTCTTCCAGACCATTGAGACTAGACGGTATTGTCTGTCCATGATCAACTATTTCTCTTCTCAATCTAGAGCATTCCTCATAATGGTTGTCAAACTTGTCCTTGCGCAGAAATATACGGTCACAAATGCATTTGAAAGTTGGCTTCTTGGCGTGTGTGTCTTTGTGACGATTCAACTTTGATAGGTGTTTAAACTCTTTTCCACACACTTCACACTTGATCAACGTAGGATTACGACCAGCGACAAAAAATAAGCATTGCTTTTTGTGCTGACTGAAGCTTGCTCGGCAACTATAAACTCTGTGACACGTACTACACTGCAGGTTCCCGTTGTCGAGCTTTATTGGCTGTGATGATTTTACTTCCTTTGGCTTTGGACAAACCTTCTCATGACGTGCTCTTTTAACTCTATGATCAAACTTTTCAGCACACCCTACACCTCTGCATGTCCACCACGACTTAGAATCCTTCGGCATCTAAGTATATGATTGGTTAGCAATAAGTTAATTCAGAAATTGTTTCGAAATATCAAATTATTAGCTTATCATTGATGATGAAAATCTTAAAATAAATCGCTACAATGAGCATTAGCTTATCAGAAATTTAACTTACTCCTAAATATTTCGTTAAATCAATACTTTTTACTGCATCAAAAAATATCGGTTACAAACGAAATTTTGAACAGCTAATTAGCATGAGCGTGAATGTGTGGTGAATGTGAGGCATTATTTTGGTAAATTTTTCATGTTTTTATGCAGCTGCTGAGGAGATTTGGTCGAGTTTCAAATATAGTACAGATAATATGTTTATTTCAACATTGGTGTAATATCTAGCTCTCCAGTTAATTTAGCCAAATAATCAGGAAGCCTAGATTGATATGAGGGTTAAATCAATGAAACAAGAAATTTTCACTGAAACAAGAAATTTAATTTTAGCACATTTTACAGAATAAAAAGATGTAAAACAATTCATAAAATATAATGCCCATTTGGTGTATGACTTTTTGTCCTTGACTGCTAGTTTGGTAGACATTAGGGGTTCTGTTTATAGTTGTTACTATAGGTTGCAGTCTTGTTGTATATTGTTGACAAAAATACTACACTAAATTATCACTTCTAATAAAACAAAAGTTAATAAAACAGAAGTATATTCTAGCGAGCCCGGCAAGCGTTAACGTTTTCTGGGTGGGCGAGAGAGCCGCAAGAGATTATAGTTCAGCCTGCAGAGGAAAGCAAAAGGAGGGGGAGTTGAGTGCAGGGAGGTAGCGTGATGTTTTGATATAGATATAAGACTTATAATTTTGACGGAAAACTGAAAAGGTATGAAGTTTTAAAAGTCGATTTTGAGGGTGAGGATTGCGTTTTTACGACCCCATCCAATGAAGACCCCTTTTGTGTCGGCGAAATTTTTTACTTTCTTTTGATAATTTAAAATTGAAATTTGACTTAATTGTCTTGTGGCTCCAAGTTAAGATCTAGACTGTTTATATCAACAATGTTTTTTCTCGCACCTCTGTCTCCACGGAGAGAAATCACTGTTGTTCTGAGGATTTCAAAGCGAAGGCGCTTTCTTATGTATCCTACAGCGTCTGAGTACCTCTGGCCAGTGTGGTACTCCATCTTACTGGCCAGCTTCTTGACCAGTCTCTCAGCTTCACCACCCATTCCACCAGAAGTCGAGAACACTAAAGGTGTGAAGCTTCCTTTCTCCACTTCAAGAACCCTTGCATTGTAACATCGCTTTTTTTCATTTTCATGGGACAGGTACATTGCTGGTATCGGTTTGCTTGCATTGGAGGGGGCTGGGGCATGAAATACCCTTACATCAGAAAATGCCCTCTCTGAAGCATTCCAAATCGATCTTGCAGAAATGTCCAGCCTGGCTTGGTCTCCTAGGACTGTTCCCTTTGGTAACTGTAGACCATCAACTGGAAGAAGAACTGGCTCAGTCTGCACATCCTTGCATTTCACAGTTCTCATTAGTTCTGCAAAGGTGTCTCTCAGCGAGTTGTGCCGCAGTGACACATATCCACCAAGTTTGCAGATGAGCGCATGGTTTGCTGAGTATTTCTGGCCACACGTACATGTTTTAGGGCAGTCCTTTAAGTTCAGGTTGTATCTGAGAGCTATTGCATCTGAGAACTGTTGTTTATTCATCAGATATCCATACTCTTTTAAAGGTAGTGCTGTTAACCAAGCACTTGCCCCTTTCTCAGCCGCTAGTTGGAACATCAACTTTGCCAGAGGTGTTGACTCGAGCTCCTGGCGTATTTCTGCTTGTTTTTGTCGATAAAAGAGATTTCGTTCTGTCGTTATCTCAGTTTTCACTCCTTTACTATGTCTCCAGTCCTCTGTGTAGTTGTCTATCTGCTTGAGAATAGCTTCTTTAAGGGGTTTTGTGGCTCTACATGAGAAATTGTACTCTCGGTCTGCCATTTCCATCATAACTGGTATACCCAATCCTCCATATCTTGGTGGTAGAGCCATTATGTTCCTTAGTTCATCAGTGCAGCTAAACAGCCTGTTAATGATAGCTGGGATAAACTCATCACGTGTTACTTGTTCTAGAGGAGTGAGCCTATTTGCAACTCCTGGGGTAGTTCTGCACACATAGTTCCATCTTTTACTAAGCCCATACATGTATGCACTGTATGCTATTTGAGGTTCTCTTGATGCTATATCACTTAACTGTTTAAGATCACGACACCATTCTTGAACTTTTTCCTCAATGAAAGCCTCTTTTCCTTGGTCTGTTCCGATGAAGCTGCCCAGATA